TGAATGTAGAGAAAATCTCAGAATTTGCCAGTGTCTCAGTGTCCCTCTGTGTGAGTGAGAGGAGGGGCGCCTGTCAGGTTAATTTTAACCCTTTATTTGCTGTGCGACTTCTCTGGCATTTTCGGGGGCCTTAACATCCTCGAAAAACTCTTGAAACTTTGCACACGGCGTCAGAACCCATGGCCATCAGGGCCGGGCTGAAGCTGGTAACCGGGCGTGGCAGGGCGGCTCGACCAGCGCCCCTGGACTGGGATTCGAACATTTGTCCATAAATCAAACACACTTGCATGAATTAATATGAAACTCGGTACAATTAAGATCACATAGGCCAAAACTTTCGTGCTCTAAGTTTTATGACAGTTCAAATGGAAGTTATTTATGAAATTATGAATTATGGTTTGTTTTGAATAATTGTCCTAGGAGAAATACATCAAATCACAATGCATGTGTTTACCAATCACAACCAAACTCGTGTGCATGAAGTCAAGACATTGAGGATGCTCAATTCCGGACGGATTTTTGATATCTCGAACGGTCTGGCCGTGGCGAGGAAATGAATTTTATGACTAAAAAAGGACACATAAGTGTGATATACTTTGCTCAATTTACCTACAGTTACAAAACTTACCACGTATATTTGTTCTCGTCAAGCCGAATCATTTTTCCAATTTAAGTCATTCGCTCTGAGCAACAGAAAGTCAGATATTTTAGTTTGAATGGATTTATTTCCCCTCCGATTCTCTCTCTCGTCTCTCTCATCTCTCTCTCTCTCTGTGTGTGTGTGTGGGTGTGTGTGGGGGGAGGGGAGGGCTGTTGTCTGTGTTTATGTGTGTGTGTGTGGCTGGCTGTGATTTTTCCTACAAGTCCTTGTCTCTAAGTCCTTGTCTTTTTGCATAACAATTTTGCATAACAATATTTTTAAATGACAAAATAGGCATATAACCCCATCTTTTAAATGTATAGATTGCTTTAAATAAAAGTAAGATTGTATTTGTAATTGAAGTTGAATGAATTTAAAATTCATGTGCTATATATTTCAATATATTTGTTTTCCTTAAGATTTTAAAACACTAACTTCATTCTTATCTGAATTACAAATATTTGTTTCTGTATAAAATAATACTCTGACTAAAAACACATTTGATGTTTTTTTTGGTATTTTTATTTACATGTATTATTGTGTGTGTGTGTGTGTGTGTGTTGTGTGTGTGTGTGTGTGTGTGTGTGTGTGTGTGTGTGTGTATAAAGTGCAGGGTTTTTTTTTAATAAAGTAGAATTTCTATAACTATGTGTTGAACTAATAAATCACTCTTGTGTGTGTTAAACACAATCTACTTAATACAGACAACTTCATTATAAAGATAAATAACAAATCCAAAAAATATATGATTATAATCTATGACAAAAAAGCCATTACAAACTATATTATTGGAAAATACACATTGCTCTTTGTATTGTTGTAAATATTCATGAAAAAAAACAGATAACAAAAATCAAAAAGATAAATTATTTTAGATATAGCCATGTTTTAAATGTATAGCAGAGATGTTAATTGAGGCAGCAACATACAAACTTTCTAGAACAACATGGACCTGGATAGCTGGTTTTTATGGAGGACAGTGAAGAGGAAGAGGGTGCAAATCAAACAGCTCATTCTCAGACTACACAGCAAACAGCTTAAGTTTTTAGTGCTTTGTTTGAGGTTTTTAGTGCTCTGTCCTATCTATTATCAACAATAATAGATGGAACAGAACAAGAAAGGCAATTAATAATCTGTCATTGCGTCACTGCATTATGATATGAAAGGCTCAGTACAGTGTGGCACAAAACGCTTATGCGCATTCCCGAGTGGAGAATGATGCGCTTAAAGCCACATGGAGTTACAGCGCACAGCGCATCGAGTCCGCATTGATGCAAGCTCTACAATACACTTCTTTTTGATAGTCAAAGCGGGGGTTACGTTTTTACACGTCGTACAGAATAACCCTAAAGGCACCAAGGTGGCGGTGCCACCGGCTTTATATTAAATATAAATATAGCTGTGAGCAGCGATAAAGGGCCAAAGCCGGCGGTACCACCATCCCGGTGCCTTTGGGTAACTAAAGGCATCGGGGTTGCGGTGCCACCGGCTTGGGCCCGCAATCGCTGCTCGCAGCTATATTTATTATTTTTTTTTTATTATTTTTTTGTAGTGTACTATACTGTCCAAAAGTTTGAAGTTTTATTATCAGCAGTCATTTCTCCAGTCTTCAGTGTCACAAGATTTTTCAGAAATCATTCTAATATGCAGAATTGGTGTTCAAGAGACACTTCTTATTATCATCAATGTTAAAAACCGTGTGGATACCTTGACTCATGTTCAAGGTTTTTGAAGAAGTTAAAAAAAATAAAAAATACAAAAGAATTACAAACGTTTTTACTGTCACTTTTGATTCATTTAATGCATCCTTGCCGAATAAACGCATTATGCAAAAGTCATTACTCTATACAGTATATATACATCATGTTAACACATGTTTATGTGTTTTATCCATGCACAAGGTCAGCAAAACATCAGTGTGCCATTTCAGTAGTGCCCACATGATGGTGCTGACTCTATTCACAATAGTGCATGTTATTTGTGATGGAAGGGTCGCATTTACTGACATACTGTAGTCTATTTAGATAGAAGGGGCATGGTGGCAATCTTTTAGTGCCATTCGTCACCATCTAATCTAATGCATCACTATTACACTTCATATGGTATTACCGATTAAATGTCCAAAAAACATGGTGAGGGTAATTTTTGTTAACGATAAATAGCATCATGAAAGATGAAAAACACCAAGAATAAAATCTTGAATCGAAATTCAAGAATTCGTTCAAATTTTCAGTCACCGTGCATGTGTTTAACGAGATAATTAGGTCAACCTCCTCCCCAAATAGAAACATTTCTCATAGGTTTTGCCTTTCTGCACTCTCTCACTCTTTTCATTGTTTGAGCTTATTCCATGGTTTGTGAGGCTTTGGAGAACCATTTCTGTGTGAAGCAGTTCTCAGGTTACAGGTCATTGTATTGACTGAATAGTGTCAATGTACAGAAATGGACTTTCCCCCGTTCTCTAAAGTAATTCAGGTTGCACAAGATACAGAAAAAAATAGGTTATGATTATTATAGAACACTCTGTCCCACAGTGGGTATGAAGTCCCTTCTAATATAACAGCCCATTCTCACTCCCAAGGCGTCACCTAACTGACGCCTTGGGAAGCATTTGGACATGCTTCAATATCTGACGCTTTAGGCGCCCTTTAGCGTCAGTTAGATGACGCCCTAGGATCGCGTGTACCCTACCCCCACCCCACACCTAAACCTAACCGCGTCCTCTAACTGACGCTTTCCTTTAGCGTCAGTTAGATGACGCCGTAGGATCGCGTCATGTAAGTGACGCTAAAGGGCGCCTAAAACGTCAAATATTGAAGCATGGTCAAAGGTGACGCCTTGGGGTGAGAATGCGTTGAATATAAACTGTAATTGTCAGTTAATTGCCTTGAAAGGATAGTTCACCCAAAAAGACAATGATCTCACTATCATGTTGTTCCAAACTTTTCTAGGTTTTCCACACTTTATTTTGCTGGCCCCTTTTGAACATCCTGTTGACTATAACTTTGCAACTACATGTCAACTACTCTCATTAGAGTATCAGTACACTGTCTACTACTTAATATCTGCAAACTTTTTATTGTGATGCTCCTCCAACAGACAATCTACTGACTATAAGTAACTTTGCAAGTGCATGTCAACTTATTCTATCCCTAACCCTACCAGTCTACTAATACTACTAAAACTCTAGTGAGAGTTAGTAGCGATGTAGGTGCAACGTTACTTATAGTCAACTGAATGTGTTAAAGGGACCATCCAAATAAAGTGAAACCCTTTTCTAAGATATGTGGGTGTTAAAACAACAAAGGACTTTTTTTAATTTCATTGTATTAACCTTTTTCAGAAAATTATTTTAGCAAAGGTTTAATGAAAGCATCATAATTTGCTACTGACATTTTTCAAAATCAAATGTGCAATGTAATCTGTGGATGATGCCTTGGGAAAATATCATTGTTTTTTTTATTTTTTTGGTTTCAGTCGGGAAATATCCTTTACCTGTGGAGGGATGTGATTGGCTGGCAATAGACTTCCATAGTCAACAGCTCTTCAGGAGGAGTCCTAGCACATACATCACCTGAGCAACTACAAATAAAAGCCAACAGTTATTCTCTGGACAAAACCAACACACAGGCGCTGCACAATACATGTAAGTATTACATTTCATCTTCACAAAGTCTCTATTCTTCTTTGTTTGCAACCAAATTAGCATTTTTTTCACTGAAAAAAGGGAAATTTGTCATTAAAATGCAAAATATTGTATTTTGATAAAATCTGTAATCTCCCAAATAGTTTTTATGGTAAATTCTTCACTGCAGCATAACATTAAATAGCTCCTGAAATATTACAAATATGCCTAATTAGAGTAATTAGCATTCTGTGTTTACTATAGTTTTCATATGGCATAAATGAACGACACGCTGCATTCAGATTATAACAAAAAATGAATATTTCTTTACCATTGGATCACATACAGAAACCCCCTCTCTGGTTCTGCGAGTACAATGACCTCCAGCTTCTCTATGCACAGTCACTCTCTGGGACGGCAGGCGTCTTTCTCCAGCATGTCTATGCGTGATTTTGGGGTTCGTGGACGCTCTAAAGTCCCAGTGTCCCTCTCCTCAGCCAGTAGTCTGTCCCTGTCTCGTTCCACCTCTCTGGGAAATGGCCTGAACATCCTAAGCAACCTCTCACTGAATGGTCTGGGAGTTGGTTCCAGTGACAAGGAGACCATGCAAGGTCTAAACGACCGACTTGCCAGCTATCTGGAAAAGGTACGCACTCTGGAGAAGTCTAACGCCGACCTGGAGCTGAAGATTAAACAGTTGATGACTGAGCGATCACCCAAGGGTCACGACATTGACGGATTGATGGCTCAAGCACATGCGATCGGACAAGAGGTTTGGTTGTCTAGTGGAATTTAAGTTCTGTTTATTGCTTTGGTCAAGACAATAACGTAGCAGGAATGTTCAGTTGTGTCTTTACAGACAGTTACAATCAAACTTCTGCTCTCTAGGTGAGGAAAAAGACATTGGAGAATGCTCGTATAATGCTGGAGATTGACAATGCCAAGCTTGCAGCAGATGACTTTAGGGTCAAGTGAGTTTGTTCCTCCTTATAGTCATTGAGAAAGATCCATTATGAAATCTATTGCCGGTATACCATTTTGTTTTCATTTCTAGGTTTAATTGGTACATTATATTATGTCTTTATAAACAGATGGGAGGCAGAAGCTTCCCTTTGCCAGTCGGTTGAGAGAGACTGCCATGCTCTGAGACGAGCCAAATCTGATCATGATCAGATCATCGCAACCCTCCGAGGAGACCTGGACAGTCTGAAAGAGGAGCTTTACTTCCTGAAGAAGAATCATGAAGAGGTTAAACACAAAACTGAGTTTGCACAGACATTGTTGTATGTTTATATGCTTAAATAACGTACAATATATATTGACAACAGCACCTGAAAAAAATTTACATAGATTTAGAAACTCATAAAAGTCTATGAATCCTTTATATATATATATATATATATATATCCTAACCTCTTCCCATATAAAAATGTAATATACATACATATAAACATACAGAGACTGGCGACAATGTTACAGTAGTTAAAATATCCTATACGTTTGAGCAAGATCATATTGCCTTCACAGTATATCAATACAGCACATATAGAAACACCCTTATCAAGTTCTTTAGATAAATATATATATACTAATCAGTGTGTAAAACACACACACCCATGTCCACAAACATAGAGTAGGGGGAAAAGTGTTTGGACAGACAGGTGTGGCGCCACTGAAATGCATTTAACCATAAACCAGTGTTATTTTAGTAACTTACTATTATAGTTTTTCTTTTTTTTCTTTTTTTATGGTTTTAATTAGCAAAAATAACCCTGCCCTAAACTCAGTAATGAGTTTACAATGAGCATCTGCAGAGCAGAACGTTGACAATAAAGATTAGGACACTTAAGCCATAAAAATGTAAATATATGTAAAAAATATCTCAACTGGCAAAAAATAAAATCAACTGGCATTTATTTTTTAAGAAAGATAGCACAAATACTCTTGTCAAAAAAAAAAAAAAAAAAAAAAAAAAAAAATTTTGGTTCCCCAAAGAACCTTTTAGAGAACCGTTCTTAAAATAGGCTAATGTTTTTTTTTCTTAGTGTGAATTTCTTAAAAATATTAGTATTTTTCAGCTAAAACTATATTGTATATTCTTATCTATAACTATAAGTGAATACACACATTATTTTCTTTAGTTTTGAATGTTACCACATATTAGTTAATTTGCCTATTTTTAATTATTATTTTTAAAATTAATTCAAAATCAGCATAAAACATTTATCCATATGAGGAATTATATTTGAAAATATCATTATATGAAATTTGTATGAAATTTATAAAAGGATATAATATGAGAATTACCAGTATGAACTCTGACTTCAACGCATTTAATTAAAGTCCTTTGACCTATATAGCTTGACTGCTCAAAACAGTCAAAATGTATGTCAACTACACATTCTTTTTCTAACTAAACATCAAATCATCATCAGTTTACTCTGAAATGTTTTCAAATATACATTTTAATTGCATAAACTTGATGAGAAAAGATAAGAAATAGCCTAATCAACTATAAATGCTGCAATCGTTCGATGGCATCCGAGTAAAATGTGGATGTTTAGACTATTGAACTTTTGATATACTAAGAGACGTTCATTTAATTTGTCATTTTATTTAAATTTCAGAATTTTCGTGTGTGTGTGTGTGTGTGTGTGTGTGTGTGCATGCATCCCCTGTGTTAAACTGCAGTCCACTTTTGGGTCAAAACAGACCAGAAACGGAAAAGTTCTAAACAATTAGGTTTAAATGGATATATGTCTTTTATATATTTTTTTTAATTTAAAAAATCTGAAAAAAAAATAAATAAATGTGTGTAAACACATATGCACATTTTCATGTTTGTATTAACAACTATGGATATTCTTTACCTTTGCTGGGTCAAAACGGACCCGAAAGCAGCAGGAGGGCTAACACAGTGTAGTGCAATTGAAACATTGAAGTGCTTCAAATGAAGTGAAACAAATTTAAAATGATTTGTCTGTGTCCTTGAAGGAGAAGAGCACACTGAAGACCCGTCTAGCCAACGAGCAAGTGAACGTGGAGGTGGAAGCAGCCCAGGGCCCAGACCTGGGAGCCATCATGGCGGAGCTACGGGTGCAGTACGAGAGCATCGCACGGAAGAATAAAGAGGATGCTGAGATGTGGTATCTGAAGAAGGTCAGAGTACAATCCAACAGCCAACACACACCCCAAACATCTATTTATAGACTGATGATTTGACTGCAAACACAGGTGTGTTCTGTAACACAATAAGCACGTGTGGCGTTTATATGTGACAGCTGGAGAACGTGCAGTCCGAGGTGAAGGAGAGCAACGAGGCTCTGAGATGTGCTCAGAGTGAGCTCAGTGAAAGACGACGCTTCCTGCAGGCGCTAGAGGTGGAACTGGACAGTCTGCGCAAACAGGTGATACCAATGAGCGTTTGAAATGGTTCAACAATGCATAGATTGCAGGTTAAACTGCTGTGGTTTGTATGTCCACTCGATTTTTGTCGATTAATAGTTACTCCTATTGAAACAAATCAAGAAGTAAAAGATATCTGTTAATATCACATGCCAGTGTTTGACACTGGGACATTGTGAATAGTTGTATTCCCATTTACAGGAAGCAAGTGTCTCCCACTTTACTTTTCTTGACTTTTCCAGTTGTTTGGCTGGTCATGAACATGCTGCAAAGATCTCTTTCATTAAGTAAAAATGTATAAAAAATATAAATGTATGTAATTTATAATTATCTTTTAAATATACAAATATATATTTATTTTTATTTTTTTTTAAATGTAAGACAGCTTTGCAGCATGTTCATGACCAGCATGACAAGACAAATTTTAATCTTTCATAAACATTTGAAGTATGAAATATGACCGCAAAATAGATGATCCCCTTTTGAGTGACCATCTGCCTAAAATACAAAAGCTAATTTCATGAAGATATTGAATAATGTTATTGTGTGATAAAAAAGATGACATTTTATTAAGATGATTTGATAAAGAAAACAAAGACTTTTACATTGTCATCATGCTAAACCAAATTGTTAAATTATTATCTGGAAAATATTTACTTTTTATTAGGCAACCAATATGTATTTTAGATTAACATTTTACTAACATAACTGAATATATTAGTCTTGAGTGATATAAAAATATCACAAAAAAAAAAACATTTTCATGGATTATCAAACTTTCATGCAGACCACTGGAGGTCCGTAAACCCTAGATTTTAAAGCCCCTTATATATATTTAAAGCTACACTGTGTAACTCTGTGTAAGCTAAAAACACTTAGTCCTTTCAAAAATATGTGTGCTCATTAATGTATATTTACTTCGTTCAAGTAATAAAGTATTCTCGTGAGTGTATAATATGCCATTGAAAATACACAGGGGTAAGGGGTTCTAATGCCGGTCGCCATGTTGACCCTTCATCTTGAAAGTACATTAGCCAAAGAGGTACATACCCATTAATTAAAGCTTCACCTTTCGGTTACGTTTCGGTTAACACTCATGGACGAGGTCAAACTGGAAGCCATGTTAATCTTGGACTACATTGGCCACCGTAGGAGTTAAAACGAAATCGGAATTGAGAGGAACAGAAACTAATATTCACTGGATGGTCATATATCTTTACACCGCTAGTTGGGGGTAAAAATCACACAGTGTAGCTTTAAGGAATGTCGCTTTTTAAGGAGAGAGAGGAATTTTTTATAGTTGATATATGTTATTTTGTTGCTACTAGATCTTTGATCCCTGGGAAGAGGCAGTCACTTGTAGGGTTGGGTATCGTTTGAATTTGAACGATTCTGATTCCGATTCCGATTCCTTGTTTCGATTCCGGTTCCTAACGATTCTCGATTCCGATTCTTTTAAGAGGCAGGGTCAAAAAAGTTTAGCTAACCTTGCTAACCAACGGTCTTTCTGAAGGAAATAATCCTTTCTGAAGAAAATACTCCTTCTGTCACAAATACTCCTTTTGTCACAAATTTTGCATTTTGACGAGATTTCGTTATTTTTAGAAAAGTGAAGCCACACTTTGGACCGCCGACGTAAGGTACTCATGTTCGACCAGCGCGGTTATGCCAACACTTCCGGTAGACGCTTCTTCGTTGGTGTTGTTCAGCGGTTTCTTCTTCCGCTCGGCGGACCGTGAATATCGAAACTAGGAATCGAAATTTTAATTTTGAACGATTCCGGGAAAAACGAAAAGTCAGTCCCGGTTCCAATCGATACTCGATTTTCGATACCCAACCCTAGTCACTTGTCTCTAAAATGTTCTGAAGTAATTTTTATGCTTTATATATGTGACGATCAGCAGCCGTGGTGCCCTCGAGAGCCACTAGAGGGCACCCTCTCCCCATGTTTGTTTCCCCTGGACTCTTTGTGTTTCATTATGTTCAGCTGTGTTTCATCATTGGTTATTGAGTTCCTTATTTAAGCCTGAGTTTTCCCTGTGTCCCTTGCGAAGTCTTGTTACACTGTAAGCGTACATCTCTGAGCATTTTCTCCGTTTGTGTATTCCGTGTTTCCCTGGACTCTCGACCTTAGCCTGTTTCCTGGACTATTTGTTCACGAACCTGTGCTGCCTGCCTCGACCATTGCCTGTTTTGACCACGAGTTTCTGGATTGCCCCTTTGTTTAAGTGTTTGCCAGTTTTCATGTCTGCCTGTTTTAATAAAGTGCTGCACATGGATCCGACCGTCTCTGTCCGTACGTTACAGAAGACTTCGCCAAACGAGGATCCAGCAGACTTTCAGCATCTATCCGCCGTGGTCAAGACCGAGCTTCAATGCTAGCCTCTCATAGTTCTCAGCTGGCGAGACTAACTTCTCTCCTCGAGGAACTAGCAAGCTCCGTGCAGTCATGGTCTCCGCAGAGCACAAGCACTAATCAAGCCCAAGCTCCCGCTGCACCTGTTCCACCGCAACCCTGTGTGAGTACCGCATGCAGTAATTCCAGTACGCCGTTTCCCGAAAAGTTTAATGGCTCACCTGGAGCGTGTGAAGGATTTCTTCAGCAGTGCAGTTTATATATGAAACATCAGCCCCAGTTATACGCCTCGGATACCGACCGCGTTTCTTTCATCTGCTCACTGTTGACTGGAAAGGCTCTGGAGTGGGCAGGCACGTTTTGGGAACCAGGTCGGATGTCGTTTCCTCCTTTCAACGTGTTTACCGCCCTGTTCAGAAAGGCTTTTTGAACTCCCCGCAGAAAAGGAGGGTCTCGAGGAACTGCTCTTTTCCCTGCGCCGGGGAGGTTCGTATGCGGCGGATTTCTCTCACTCACTCCGCACGCCGCATAAGCCTCAGCTCGCTAAACTGTTTGATCCTCCCTTAAGGACCGTCAGAGGCGCTTCTAAGCATATTGTTCCTGCCAAAACCACTCATCATGTCGGACCCCTCGAGCCCGTATCCCGCACTGGCCCTGTTAAAAGTGCTGTTTCTAAGACAGCGGAGGTGTCGCGGGTCGAATCGGAGTTTGAGCGCGTGCCAGCCGACTCAAGTGAGTCAAGTGCTGAGCCGAGTGAATCAAGTGTGTCCAGTGTTGAATTCAGTCTGTCCAGTGAGTCTTCAGTTCAAGTAATTGAATCTCCTCTTCAAGTGAGCGCTGAATCTCCTCTTCAAGTGAGCGCTGAATCTCCTCTTCAAGTGAGCGCTGAATCTCCTCTTCAAGTGAGCGCTGAATCTCCTCTTCAAGTGAGCGCTGAATCTCCTCTTCAAGTGAGCGCTGCATCTCCTCTTCAAGTGAGCGCTGCATCTCCTCTTCAAGTGAGCGCTGCATCTCCTCTTCAAGTGAGCGCTGCATCTCCAGTTTCAAGTGAGTGAGTTGTCCAGCCCAGCGAGTGTGTCTAGCCCTGTGACGCGCCGCCGCAGGAGGAGGAGAAGGAGGACTCGTTTGGTTCGCCAGGCCCCGGTGAGCGTGCCCAGACTGCTCGCCCTGCCGGCCCCGCCTCTGCGCCTCGCCCTGCCGGCCCCGCCTCTGCGCCTCGCCCTGCCGGCCCCGCCTCTGCGCCTCGCTCTGCCGGCCCCGCCTCTGCGCCTCGCTCTGCCGGCCCCGCCTCTGCGCCTCGCTCTGCCGGCCCCGCCTCTGCGCCTCGCTCTGCCGGCCCCGCCTCTGCGCCTCGCTCTGCCGGCCCCGCCTCTGCGCCTCGCTCTGCCTGCACCCTTCAAGCTCCGGGAGGCCTTTCCTGTACCAGTTCACCACCCAGAGGCTCCTCCCGTGAATTTCCCCAAGTATTTTTTGGGGGGGGGCAGTAGGTACTTTGTGGGGGCCATGGAGGTGATCCTGACATGGACCTCTGAGTCCGTGAGGGCCATGGAGGCGAGGCTGTCATGGACCTCGCCTGTGTCTGCTCCGCCCTGGCCGCCATCACGTCCTGCTCCTTCCTGGTCACCCACGCTCCACGGCCCCAGGCCTCTCCATGTGCCTGGCCTCCTGCCTCTCCATGGGCCTGGCCCTCCATCCCAGCCCCCGTTGACCTCCCCCCGGAGCTCTTAGGAGCGTCTGGAAGCCGCTCCTTAGAGGGGGGGTTATGTGACGATCAGCAGCCGTGGTGCCCTCGAGAGCCACTAGAGGGCACCCTCTCCCCATGTTTGTTTCCCCTGGACTCTTTGTGTTTCATTATGTTCAGCTGTGTTTCATCATTGGTTATTGAGTTCCTTATTTAAGCCTGAGTTTTCCCTGTGTCCCTTGCGAAGTCTTGTTACACTGTAAGCGTACATCTCTGAGCATTTTCTCCGTTTGTGTATTCCGTGTTTCCCTGGACTCTCGACCTTAGCCTGTTTCCTGGACTATTTGTTCACGAACCTGTGCTGCCTGCCTCGACCATTGCCTGTTTTGACCACGAGTTTCTGGATTGCCCCTTTGTTTAAGTGTTTGCCAGTTTTCATGTCTGCCTGTTTTAATAAAGTGCTGCACATGGATCCGACCGTCTCTGTCCGTACGTTACAATATACAAGAAAACAACAAAATTCCAGACAAATAGCTCAGTGAAATATAGAAATAAGGCTACTTTTCTTCCATCCATAAAAAATGGGTCCCATTTAGCTTCAACCCTAACATCTCCCTGAAAAGCTCTGAATGTCTTTAGAACACAAAGGAGGTCATTTAGTAGCTTAAATGGTTGTGAAGATTCTGTAAAAATGTCCAAGATTGAATTGCTTGAAGAAAGAAGTTAGCAAAAATAGATCTTCCCAACCTAATTTTAAACAATTCCTTATATTACTCACTTTATCCTGCGGTTAAAGGGCAATGGATATGCCAGTGAGCTGTTTGATGCATCATTGTCTTGAAGTGTTTTTTTTTTTTTTTTTTTTTTTACCTTTTTTGGGGTTTTATTTTTGAACTGGATCTGCAATAATTTTGTCCATAATTTGTCAACAAATATCCAGAGAATGTGTCAAGGTTAGCTCTTCAGCACAGGAAACCACTCTCCCCTCACATCTGCTGCTCGTCCTCATGCAAACAATGTTTACTCCTGTTTTAATAAATCATTCTGTAATACATGCGATGACAGTCTAAAAACACATCGCATCTCATGGCCTGGACAGGTGATAAGGACCTTTCAGCGTTGTTTAATAGTCGTTCACACATCCTGGTTTTAGATCAGGCAGATACAGGGCAGTTCATTCTTGATGGTGATCACCTCTAATGGTTTTCATCTAAAACATTTCTCATCATTTCTATGAATTTATCATCATGTCTTACATACACAACCGATCATCTTATGGATTTTGTTTGTTTTTGTAATGTTTCTCTCAAGGCTGCATTTATTTGATTAAATTTAATACATTTTATAAAATGTGATTTATGTTGAATTTTCAGCATCATTTGCCAGTCTTCAGTGTCACATGATCCTCCAGAAATCATTAATATGCTTATTTGGTGCATAATTATTAATAACAGTTCTTCGTATTAAAAATGTGTCAGGATTCTTTGATGAAGACACAATTCCAAATAACATCCATATGAAATACAAATCTTTTGTAACATTAAAAATGTTTCTTGCATATTAGAATGATTTCTGAAGGATCATTTGACACAGAAGACTGGATTAATTACAATTAAATTACATTTTAAAATAAATAAATAAATTAATTGTAATTTTAACCATAGCCTATTACTGTTTTTACTGTATTTTTGATACAATAAAGGAGGCTTTGGTGAGCATGAGACACTTTTTTAAAAACCTTTGAGCTTTCACAATGAAAATGTTATGAATGTTATGGCCCACCTCAGGTTGGTGTTCTTGAGGGGAACCTCGGAGAGGTGAATCAGAAGTACGCGGTTGAGATTGAACGTCTTCAGGGCACACTTACACAGCTGGAGGACGAGCTCTCACAGCTGCGCCTGGACATGCAAAGAATCAAAACTGATTACGAGCAGTTACTGCGTATCAAACAGAACCTGGAGCTGGAGATTGCCACCTATAGAAGGCTGCTGGATGGAGAGGAAGTGTAAGAACTGAGAGAGGTTTCTCAAAGCTGAAAAAAAAAGCTGATTTCTATTGACACATTACAGTTCACAACAGATGGTGCGGAATGGAGCATCTCTGACATATAAAATCAGATGTGAAATGTTTTTCCTTTTTGTTTTTTTCAGGATAAAAGAGATGGCCACTCCTAAAAGTAAGTCTGAATGGATATTTTTATAGACTATTAAACTCTATAAAGACTAAAACTCAACATATATTCAGTTCATTTAATACTTGCAAATATACTGATGTTTGTTTTCCCCAGTAATGGTTTTGTAAAATCCACAAAAAACCCTTTTAAACAACACATTCTCACCCCAAGGCGTCACCTTTGACCATGCTTTAATATTTGACGTTTTAGGCGCCCTTTAGCGTCACTTACATGACGCGATCCTACAGCGTCATCTAACTGACGCTAAAGGAAAGCGTCAGTTAGAGGACGCGGTTAGGTTTAGGTATGGGGTGGGGGTAGGGTACACGCGATCCTAGGGCGTCATCTAACTGACGCTAAAGGGCGCCGTCAGATATTGAAGCATGGTCAAATGCTTCCCAAGGCGTCAGTTTGGTGACGCCTTGGGAGTGAGAATGGGCTGTCTTAAAATAAAATATTTTTTTCCCTGTATCTAAAATTACAATAATATCATAATTTTGGCGTAGCTTTTAAAATAAATGGACAAAATAAAACAACACTGTTGTACATTCAGGAAAGTGTCAACTATTGCTATAATGAATAAAGACTTTAACCTATAATGTCAAGTTGCAAGTTGAGTCAAGTTGTTACTTGTAATATGTTTTATTAAATATAAACATACGTTTTACATAAACGTTTTACTTAAAAACTGTTCTTGGCTAAAGCAATGCTTTGATTTATAACTTATAACATTTGTTGGAATATTTAAATATTGTACATTACATTTGAGATATTTGCAGTTTTGAGAATTTTATCATGAATTTTGTCTGACAGTGTGACAATAGTATTATAGCGTTACAACACGTCCTGCTAATCATTGAACTCTATTTTTTCCTTGTCAGTAACAATACAAATTTTTAATGCAAAGAGTTTTTTTTTTTCTTTTGGACAACACAACGCTTTGAGAGTTACTGCACAATAATAAAGGGATGTGATCTAAATAAGACCACTTGAGGAGTTAGTAAAGATTTAAAACTTTTTAAAACTTTTTTTCCCTCCCTTTTGTAGAAGAGCCTGAAGTGAGAACCAGGAAGATTGTCAAAGTTGTCACCCAGACCATGGTAAATGGAAAGGTGGTGGATGAATCCAGTGAAGTTGAACAGATTGAAGAACGAAAAAAGTGAGTCTGGCTCAAAAGTGACATTCCTTGTGATAAGTGTAGACAAAGCATAAACCATCACAAGACTATTATCAGAGATCTGTTCATCATTTCACCAAAAAAGTGAATAAAAAATTACAAAGTAGTGATGTGTCAGCTGTCTTGATTTTTTTACCACCTGTTTTTTCATCATGGTAGAAATTGCCACATGAAAGCTAACAAGGCTGTACATCTTCATACTCTCTCTTTATTGTCATATTTGCATTCCCATTCACTGTTGAAGCATGTGCACTGATATTATTTCTTCTTCACTTTCTTTAGGTCTGATTCTGTAAGGCGAGTCGCAATAGAGCGGGTCATTTAAAAATAGCACAGACCGAAAGTCACACAGTGAAACTAAATACATGCGATACTAGCTGATATCCACTGTTTTAGAGGCAGTGGTAGAAAAATGATATGTATCTGTGGATGGGGATTTGAACCTGTCTGGTCACAGTGTGAGAAACCAAGCCGAACGACGAAATCAAGACAGCCTCACTTTGAGAACGATGACCGAAAAAGCCCTGACACCAAACCTCTGTAGTGTCAAATGTCTCGCTTTTGTGAGGGTTTCTGGGCGAAATACCTGGTAAACAAGAGCTTTGTTTTGCTATGATATTCTTTAGACATCCCAGAAATATAACAATTTAAGCATTTGTAAAAACTGGTAACAAATGTATTTAAGTCATAAACAGCATGCTTTCAGTATTTGCTACAGTGCAAAGATTGTGCAAATGTGAATGCGTTAAATAATTATTGACAGGCTTAATGAATCAGAATTTTATTCATTTTAAATGCTGGCTAAAACATTAAATCAATGAAATGTCTCTATTTATCATTTTTGATGTACATATATATAGGTCATATTATGGAAATGTAACACTCATGTTAGAACAAGAACACCCAAAACCACACTTCATTATTCATTTTCAATATGGGGCAGATTCAAATAGGAACGTTTTCCCCCTACACTTCACAACATTTTGACATCTCTCTCTCTCTCTCTCTCTCTCTCTCTCTCTCTCTCTCTCTCTCTCTCTCTCTCTCTCTCTCTCTCTCTCTCTTTTTTTTAAATCTTTGATGGATAAAGTCCATATCTGACAAATAAAGGTGTGTGAAGTCACAGGTCAGCGCATCTTGCACCCTGCATATTATCTATATAAACCATGGTAAACATACTGATACATACAATAAGGCATTTACAATAAGGCACTTACAATAAACTTATAAACTGATCAGCCAAAGTGTATTCTGACTCTTGTTTGGTGTCTGTAATCATGAGAAGCTTAAAAAAATAATAATCTGATTTTCTTTTCTGCCATACCATTGTGACATTGTGAACCACAACATTATTATTGTAGCAAATTAGTAATCTATACTTGCACTGAGGGAAAACGGTTTAGGATTTTTTTTTTTTTTAAATCACTAAGGCACACAAGGCTAGGCTATTTTATTTAATGAATATTTAGGTAATTAGGCTAGAAACGGCAAGTAACACATTATTAAAACGTGACATTTTGAAAGCCTAAAATAGCAGACCTTGTAATCTTTTTAATTTTTATTTACAACTTTAAAAAAATACTAATAGAATCAAGGAGGATCCACAGGAGACCATAACGGCAGTCTCAAAAACTGCTGTAGCTAACTGTAACTTTTAATTAGTTATCGAGATGTTATATAACTGATTAATAACTGATTAATAAAACTTAAGTGAACACGCTTCTCCTTTATATCACTGCCTCCTTGTGGTAAGTAGAACACAGGTTTGTTTTGGGATAGTTGTTCATCCAAAAATGAAAATGTCGTCATCGTCATTCCTGCTGTACGAGTTTCTTGAACGCAAAAGAAAAAATTTTAAAGAATGTCGAGGCACCCATTGAGTTCCATAGTAAAAAAAAAAAAAAAAAACCCTTCTATAGCAGGGGGGAAAAAAACACCAAAAATGAACGGGCTCACAAGTAACAAGTCATGTCACAAGTAATGAAACACTGAAAGTATTTATTGTACTCTATATACTAATAGTCTATAAATACTAATAGTCTATTAGTATTTATAGAGTACAATAAATACTATCAGTTATAGTAGTAGTAGACTACTAGTAATAATAATACACCGACTTTAAACACCAGTTAAAGTAGGCTGGAATGTTGTTCTTTAAATTTCAATGTTTCTATTACTGTAAACTATTTGGAGTACTTTAACTGTTGTTGGATGACTAAACTTTCATTTTAAACGGCCTAGCAGTAAATAAATCTTTATTTTGCTGTTAAGAAAAGTCAAAATAATCATAAAACAGCCGATATTTAAATGTAACGGGCTGTTTTCATAATGAGCCACCTGTATTTGTGTCCTGGCCCTTTAAATTGTGCCGACCAATCGGGAAGCTCGGCTGTCTTATAGCACATCCTTTTCCGTCTCAAGCAAAACACTAAACATACAGGCGCTGTATGCTCATCTCCAGGACAACAAAACACCCAGAGAGAGAGAAAAAAACAAAAATAAACAAAAAACAATTGCGCAGGTATTCATATTTTAAATAAACAATCATATTTACCTCATTTTTGTGACGATTTGTCTTCATCGTCCGTTTTCCACCATTCTTTACTGTCGTCCATCCAGTGTCTGGTTTAGCTCGCACAATTTCCAGGCCTGTTCTAACCACACTAGTTTCCTCGTGTCAACTTAAAACGATTTTGCTTTCAGAAAATATAGACCAGCATATACATTTAAATATCATGACATTATGTGCCTTATAAATGTCTTAACTAATACGTGCGTTTGGAAACATAATAATACAGGTCCATAACATAATCCAGCATGAACATACCGGCTTATGCTGGTGACCAGTAATGCTGGAATTTGCAGCAGGGTTATAAGATTTAAATCTATTATGTCTACTAAATTGTACATTTTTCTGACAGTATACCATGGCTCAGGACGGGGTGATACTACAATTCAACTTTCCCACGTTTGGGGACTCCATGCTTCAAAAGATGGATGTTCTTCGTCGAGACAGACGTTTCTGTGATGTAGTGATCCGCATCAATGAATTGGCAGTGCCTGGACACAAAGTGATATTTGCTGCTGGCTCTCCTTTTCTTAGAGACCAGTTTTTCCTTCAGGACTCGCGTGAAGTACAAATATCTACACACCAGGACGCAGAGGTTGGACAGAGGCTTCTTTTGTCTTGTTACACTGGGACCCTTGAGTTCCCGGAGCTGGAATTAGTACACTACTTAACCGTTGCTAGTTTCCTACAGATGGGTAATATTGTAGCACAGTGCACCGAAGCTCTAAATAAATTCATAAAACCACACGAGGTTAAAGACGAGCGTGCATCATCTCGACAGCCCTCGGACTATAACGCACAGCGTGGCCCATCAGCTGTGGAGACAATATGTGATGAAGAGGATGAGGTAAACAATGATGGAGAAGACAACTTCATTGAAGAAGAAGATGATGATGATGATGATGATGTAATCATACAGCCCAAGTCTCCGCCTGTGTTTAGAAACTCTCAGAGCAACAATCCCAGAGACGAGTACAGTCCCATTAGCATTGTTAAGGTGGAATCAATAGATGAGCGGATGTCTGATAACTTCCAGAGTCAGTCAAATCGCTCTCCGAAATTGCGCTCACCTGAGCCACAACACTCCCTGATAAACTCCACAGTGGAAACCCGGCCTGCCGTGCTCACTGTTAACCCTGCAGCTGACTATTCAATGTCCTTACCTGGAACCAGTGGCTCCGGGAAAGGGAATCTTTGGGGATTCTCAAGGAATTCCGATAAAGGAATGCAGTGGTACCACCAGTGCCCGAAATGTGCTCGCGTGTTCCGTCAACTGGAGAACTACGCCAACCATCTGAAGATGCACAAGCTGTTTATGTGCGTCTTGTGTGGAAAGACATTTACCCAGAAAGGAAACCTGCACCGGCACATGCGTGTCCATGCCGGCATCAAACCCTTCCAATGTAAGTTATGTGGAAAGACTTTTACCCAGAAGTGCTCGCTGCTGGACCACCTGAACCTTCACAGTGGAGACAAACCACACCGTTGTAATTACTGTGAGATGGTGTTTGCGCATAAACCAGTTCTACGTAAACACCTGAAGCAGATCCATGGAAAAAACAGTTTTGACAATGCCAACGAAGGCAGTTTGCTTGAAGGATTATAAATTCATATTAAAATAAGTTACGCAGACATAACTTTGTCTTGCAGACACAATTCCGTAAATCAGTGGATCTCAAGCAGATGGGGCTCGCCTCAGCAAACTTCCAAGAGGGCCCCAGCAAGTCTTAAAAGAGGCAAGACTTAATCCTAGTCCCAGACTAAAATGTATGTTTGCTGACATATCTTAAATTATGTCAGTGCCATTGTTTTGTCTCAAGATGCAAACTAGTAAGGTTTCTTTTTTCTAAGGTACGGTTACTTAGGTATAAAAACTACCCAAATGGGTAACACTTTATAATAACTACACGCTAATTATCATTAGTTAAGCATGAGTCAACAGTTCATTCATCATTCATAATGCATTAATAGACATTAATAAGAAGTTTATAAATACAGCTATAAATGCTTTCTTCTTGATTTAAAAGCATATCTATAATTTGATTAATAATTGTATTTTCATCCTCATTTGTAAATGAAGAATTTCATTTTTTATAAACCAGTTATTTAAGAGTTGTCAGTGGTTCATAAGATTATGTAGAACGTGCAAGTAAATGATTTAAACGTATATTCATACATCTTATTATTCAGACATGTAGTGACGGTTACTTAGCATGTTAATAAATGCTTTATTAACATGTATTTATGATGTAATTCAGGGTAAATTTGGGTAGTTATAAAGCATTTAGTCGTGGTCAGTTAACTATGTTTGTGAGCTCATCTAAAGTGAGGACTATTCATGCTTTGTAAAGGAGATTTAAAGGTAACACTTTACAATAAGGTTCATTAGTTAACATTACTAAATGCATTAACTAACATGAACTAACGATGAGCAATGCATTAGTTACAGTGTTTATTAATCTTTGTGAATGTTAGTTAATACAAATACAGCTGTTCATTGTGCGTTCATGTTAGTTCACAGTCCATTAACTAATGTTAACTAATACAACCTTTGATTTTAATAACGTAGCCTATTAGTAAATGTTGGAATTAATATTAACTAAGATTAATAAATGCTGAATAAGTATTGTTCACATATTGTACATGTTAACTAATGTAGTTAACTAAGGTTAACTAATGAACCTTATTGTAAAGTGTTACCAATATTTCTCTGTTCTGTATTAGGCCTACTGTGTTGTGTTTGTTACATTTTACTGTTTAGAAGATTGATGAGCCTTTAAATCTCCTTTATAAATGCTTTACAAGGCATGAAGTTCTCACTATAGATGAGCTCACAAACATAGTTAACTGACCACTACTAAATGCTTTATAACCTGTATCTACTACATTTACTTACACTTTCTAAGTGATCTTATGAATGAATGACAACTCTTAAATAACTTGTTTGTAAATAATGCTATACTTCATTTAGAAATTATTAATTGATCATTAACAGAGTATGAAAATACAATTATTAAACGCACTATAGATATGCTTTTAAATCAAGAAAAAGCATTTATAGTTATATTTATAAACTGCTTATTAATGTCTATTAATGCTTTATAAATGAATTAACTGTTTACTCATGGTTAACAAATGATTAATAGCGTGCAGTTACTATAAAGTGTTACCCATAATCTTAATTGAAAACCTTCAAAACACATACACAAAAAAATAACGATTAACAACATTACATTGACATTATATGTTTTCGTTTATTTATTTTTACTAAAACAGTTGGACATATTGTCTTTGACGGGGGTTTTGGTGTCCAAATCTGCTCCTGAAAGACTCCAATCCCAACTGAACACAGACGAAAGAACTAATCAAGGTCTTAGCCTTAGGACTACTAGAAACTTCCGAGCTAAACTTTTCAGGACATTGTTCCTTCAGGAGCAAGATTGGACACCGCTTTTTTTTTTTTTTTTTTTAGACAAAAAGCCTTTGATTTAAAAAAAATATCAATAAAGTTGAGAACCAATACTGTAAGTCATTAACTGTACAGTAAATTACAATAATTAAATTACGTGTCTGCTGGTTGGTAGATACACGTGCAGTCAAAATCAGGTTTAATGTCTTTTTTTTTGCAAACTACAGGTCAAGGGAGATTAAATGTATTAAACTGATTTTGAATGCTGCTGTGGCATCATGTGATTGACATATCTTTTGTAAAGATTAAAATATATTGTTTCAGTATACCTGCTCTGGCTGAATTTCAGTTTTGAACGCTAACATATTACTTCCTCATTTGCAGACAGCTGTATTCCAACACTATATGCAACTCTATAATGAATGTTTTCCTACTTCCATCTGTGTAAACATGCCAGAATTTGGAGAGAATCACTGTGACTCATTAATAAATAACTGCAGATGAAAATGTGCACTTGCTTTTGTTAATGTGTGTTATGTGTATATATATAAATAAATGTGGGCAGTTTGCATAATACATCAAGGATTACAACATTCAAATGGGGTCCAATTATGTTTATTTCTTTATGGCAGCTCTATCATGGTGGCAGAGTGTTATCGTGGACACATTGCATGTCGACCTCCGTCCACTGGAAGATTGACGCCTGTTATAAATGTTGCCGCATCAGATGCCAGGAAGGCGATAGCATGAGCAACTTCCTCTACTTCCCCCGGTCTGCCGAGAGCATGGGTCACCTTGGTTTTCTCAAGGAACTGCAGCAAAGCAACAAAACACATGACGTGTGATTAATTGGAAACGTATATTACAGTGAAATAAACACTCTCGCATTAGAAAAAGCATTTGACCTGAGCATACTGGTCCTCATCCAGTCCTGCACGCTTGTGAACTTCTGTTATAATAACTCCTGGGCTGTAAAGACAAAGCATTTCAAGTTATTTTGTATTCAATGTAGCAATTGTATGGTACATAAAAAAACAGCAGCAGAAAGAAACTTACCATACTGAGTTGACTCGTACTTGCTTTGATGCTAACTCTACAATTAACATAAGGTGAAAAAAACAAACAAAAAAACACTTATTTGTACAGTAGTAATACCCAAGCTCTTTTGCATTAATTAAAAACTAGTAGTAGGAGAGACCAGGGCTAGTTGTCACACTGTTTACTCGAGTATATTTCTCAGAGCAGGTTTATTTTTAAAGTCAATTTCTGCAAACGCACATAAAATTGGATACAAAAATATATTTATCCATTAAACCATTAAAGGGTTAGTTCGCTCAAAAATGAAACAATTGACATCAATTACTCACCCTCCCTTTCATTCATCTTAGAAACAAAAATAATATTTTAATTTAAACCTGAGCTATTTCTATCCCTTCATTGACAGTTCACGCAACTATCATTTTGTCACTTAAAAAAGTTCATCAAGAGATAAAACTAATCCATATGAATTGAGTGGTTTAGTCCAAATTTTTTGAAGAGACTCAATCGCTTTATGAACAGATTGAATTTTCTGCGTAACACATGAGAATGAACCTCATTGGTTCGTCACTCGGAATTTATTTGTGTTCTGAAGATGAACAAAAGTCTTTACCGCATGGAACAACATGAGGGTGAGTAATTAATGACAGAAATTTAATTTTAGGGTGAACTAACCCTTTAATTCTCCAATAGTAGGTCATGTTGTCACAACGGGATATGCTATTAAACAGCCAATTAGAGGTTCTTTTTTCAGCCAAATAATGAAACCAAGCAATTAAAAACAAATAAAACAGCAAAAATGTAAAAGGTAGTATGCTACAATACCAAACCATTGTTTTGGACAACAAATATTGTAAATAATATAATTATAACTGAAACTGTATTGCTGAGAAATAGACCTTGTGACATTATCATTAGCCCCGGTTATCTATAAATAATATTAATGATTCTTGAGATATCACCTCACCAAGAGCAACACAGCATGTGAATTGGTCGATTGCTGATTTGGACATACAGTAGGCAAGTACACCAGGGAACTATAACAGACAGAAAAATGTGTAAGCATATCAACCAGAGCCTGCTCATAGTTTCATTCATGTAGGGCCTATATGAATAAAACAATGAGCAAATATTTTGTATTTCTATGGTTTATGGCTCATTTGATACGGATGTATAAAAACGCACCGATCGCTGCCCATTCACACTGGACACGTTCACAATTGAGCCTTTAGTTTTGATAAGATGTGGCACGCACAGATGAGTGAGATGATACACTGATCTGAAAGAAAATAAAATGTTTGACTTTGTACCTTGTCCTTATAAAGTCGAAGATCCACATCTTTAGATCATTTTATTGCAGGGGGTTAAATAAATCAATAAATCTTTACATAAATCCAGTGCAGAGGCTGGGCTCCATGGAAAGGTTTAAAATAATTGGTTTAAGTAAACAGATTAAATAAATAAAAGTGAAAAATAAAAATAATTAAAACAATACAAAATCTAACAAAAATGAAGATAAATAATACAAATATTATAATATTGTATATTATTCCGTCTTATACTAAGACTACAAGTAAAACATGTCAAACTGTAACTTAACATACACTAAATATTTCCCAATATTATAAAACATATTTATAATATTTTACAGTATAAATTGGGACTTTATACAGGGAACTATATATATATATATATATATATATATATATGCCTTTTAAATTTTAGTTTGGAGCTCCCTCACATGAGGATGGCCATATTTTAGTGTCTGTGGCCTCTAAATGATTGAAACCCCAGATCTAAATCCCGTGCAGATAAACACTCACACAGATGTGACTATTTTTTTTTTTTTTTTTTTTTACCTGACATTAACAGACATGACCTTATCATACTGGGCCATATCTGTTGTCTCTATACTGCCCATGGCGAGTATTCCTGCACTGTTGATCAGGACATCCAGCTTCCCAAAGTGAGCAATGACCTCTTCAACTGTCCTCTTCACAGTATCCTCATCTGTCAGGTCTCCTGGCACTAGTAAGGGCTAAATGCATCAGACAAGGGCCGAAAGGACATATGAATATTTATTTTTAAATAATAATAGCATATTAAAATTATTTCGGTTGCATTTGACATCTTTCAGTGTGATTTACTTTAACTGCTCCACAAGCTTCGCACTCTTTTGCGACTTTAGTGAGATTTTCTACATCGCGTCCATTCAGCGCCAGTCGGGCACCCAGTTTGGCAAACAGCACGGCTGTGCCAGCTCCTATTCCTGAACTTGCGCCAGTTATCAGCGTGACTTTGTCGTTTAAAGAGCAAACCTGAAACGGCAAATCAAGTTTAGTGTGTAACTCAGAAGCAATGAGATGTCAACGACAGTTTTGGAATTTCAATTAATAATTTAGAAATTCTGTGAGTGCTTGTAAAATATACTCTACCTACTTTAAACGCACCTGGAGTTGCCATTAGATTCGATTTATTTTCACAGTTCCTCTCTCTGGATCAACTGAACTTTGATTTCTCCTCTTGCTCACGTGCGCCTGTCTAGTAACTTACGTTAGTGAACTAGTTACGTCACCGCGTACCTACAATAACATTTTAGCAGTTCACAGTTCATTACTCTATTTTCCGATTAAGTCAACCAAATATTAATAGAATTTTTCAGTTTTATTGTGACAGTATTTTTTATATTTTTAACTGATGCGGAATTAACTTTATTTATGGATGTACTAGCGTGCTTACATATCATTTCCGGGTTATAACCAGCTATAACAATTTCAAAATTAAAGTCTTTTTTTAGCCTTTCAAAATCATAGTTCTTACAAACTGCAAAAAAACATTCAAAACAAGGGGGAAAAAACCCTACCCATTTTGTAAAATTTGTATTTGTCAAAGTGCAATATTGCTCATCTGATTTTGTTTCTCTCATAATTTCACAACATTAAAAGGCTACATTTAAAAACACAATGTAAAAGTTTATTGGCAAAACATTGGTGAGTCAGTGTGTACATATTTATGGAACAGCATGAAAGCGGAAAAAAAAAAAAAAAAAAAAACCTATTTACAATACAAGCCATTATGCATGTTTCACATCAATCAACCAGCAAATGGGTTGGCATGGACAGTAACATCCTTAATACGGACATCATTGAGAGGACGGAAAGTCTTCTCATTCACAGGGAGTTTCTCTAGTTCATCCAGAGTTTCAAGTCCATCAATAATTCTGTAACAAAGGATGAGTTTGTGTCACAATTTATTACCATTAATACAATACTTATAACAGAATTAAATATACCAAAAACTATAAGCTGGTTTATTTATTGAAATGATCAATCACATAACAATAACTGAAAATAAAACACACAAGCAAAAGAAAAAAAAAAAAAAAAAAACATACTTTCCAAAAACAGTGTACTTCATGTCCAGGTGAGGCTGTTTTGCATATGTGAAGTAGAACTGTGATGCATTTGTGTTTGGTCCATTATTTGCCATGGCCACGACACCCCGGACATTGTGCTACAAAAGACAGATATTAAAGGGAGGATTGAGTTTGATAAGTCTAGACATGTGTCTCCGGAGAACTCCGGTGCAAAATGAAAAATGGTCTAATAAAATATCGGTACCTAGTCAACCGTTCTCTGAGATTTGTTTTTATGATAATCGAATGTAAAGAGTTTTATCTCTAAAAACTGTTTAGCGTATAACGCTAGTACTAACTTCTGAACTGTATGAACGGCGTTGGGGGATCGACTTATCGAGACTATATTCTAAGATGGCTCGCTGCTCGAACCAGATGAGACAGGGCCCACGGCCAATCAAAATTATCCAGATAGAAATTTCCCAGCAACATTGCTCAAAAAGTTGCCCGGTGTATCATCACAGGTGCTGCAACAATGTAAAATATGTGAAAAATAATGTATTTTTTGAATATTTAAGCATGAAATCATATTCTAGTCGTCCCCAAAACCAAGACTTTGAAAAAGGTCATAGTAGGTCCCCTTTAATCACCAAATCAAGTTATAAGGTTTTATTTTCACACTTGCAACATCAGACCTTAAAATTAAATTCAAACTCATGCCTGACTTCAGTAGTTTTATTTTTTTATTTTTTGTATAATATATTTAAGTATAATAACGCACAACAATACATACTTTCAGATGTTCACTGAATTCATCTTCAAACTTTCTTCCCCAAATACTGGTCCCTCCTTTGCCTGTGCCTGCAAGAAAAACAATATCCATAAATTAATCAACCAAATACTAGTCTGGAATCTGGATGTTTTTTTGTTTTTTTTAAACAAAGGATAATATTTAATATTGTGTGTGTGTTTACATGAAATAAGCATTCGCGCATTTTACAACCGTATAAGCTTAAAAAACGGCAGCTTGACATGGGTTTTAGGATGGAAAAGAAATCTCAGACCAGTTACCTGTTGGGTCTCCAGTCTGGACCATAAAGCCCTTTATGTTTCGATGAAATATACATCCATTGTAAAACCCTCCAGCGCACAGTGCAATAAAATTCTAGGGGAAAATTGAATTCGAATTATAAATGAACAAAGAGATATCGCTTCTTTAAGAAACAACGTTTAGGAAACAAAGAAAAATTGTCTTACTTCGGAGCTTTTCGGGCACTTCTCACAGAACACCTCTATTTTAATATCACCAAGGTCTGTATGCAGAGTGACAGCCTGCGAGATGATGAAAGGGTCATCTTATTAATATAATAGAATTATAGAATACATAATTAGAATGATAATACCGAGCTTATAATAACTAATTCAGAATTGTGTATGCTGCCCGAAGAAGGTAGGCTTTCCACAGAACAGCAAATGTTTCAATAACTATCAGGAACTGTTAACTTAATTTGGCCAGATTCTACCATCATGCTAACATACAACAAACAAAGCGTTAAATTAATTCTATATAACAATAAGCTAAAATATAAAGGGTTACATTTCCCCCGTAATTTTCAGCATTCACAGATATGTAACGAGCAGTCTTACCATCTTCTAAAGCACAAGGTAAAGTCATAGACAGTATAAGAAAGTTGACTAGTTCATGCGTACACTACAAGCAAACTCGCTCTAGTGGCGTTTCACTGTTAAACTTCCGATGGAGCGGAATGACTCAAAGCATTGGTTCCCCTTACCCGGTTCTAACCAAGTGCACGCATGCGCGCACAAGCACAAACTTAATAATACCAAACTATCCAAAAACAAGCAATGATTTTTAAAAACGACAACGGTTCTTAGTGGCTATACAAGAGCATACACAACTGACAAACAAATATTAATTATAAAAAATAATCAGGACAAATATATAAAAAAAAATGTTTAGTGATTTTTATTGACACACTAAATAAACAGTGTTTATTCACACTGTATGGCTTCATACATTTTGTGGCATTTACTTTTTACTTTACATCCTAGTTTGCAAACAATGTAAACAAAAGTAAAATAGTGTGTTTATAGAATACACAAATTGATGAAATCATCAACCATAAATACATTTTGATAATGTGATAAATTTATCAAATGGTTACAAATATGTTAACACTGGAAACAGCACACTTTGTTTAAAAAAACAAACAAAACCAACAAACAAAAAACCCCTCAAATAACACATTAAAAAAAGTGTTGATATCAAATGGTTACAAATACGTTAACACTGCAAACAGCTAAATTTGTTTAAATAAAAATAAAAAGACTCAAAAAAGACATTAAACAATAGTGTTGATCTTCAAATGTACAAAGTTGAAAAGCACTTACCTGAGTAACAAGTTCTGAAATTCTATTAGCTTAGTTTCCAATGTGTACAGTATGGAAGAAAAACATTCTACAATGTTTCATATTTGAGGTAATATGAGAAAACATGCAACAAGCCAAGATCAATAACCTATCAACAGTAACAAGTTTGTTAACATATCAACAAACTGAGAATGGACATTAAAATAAGACAAAACAGCTATATTGATTTTACTAGAGCAAATAAGTGACATCTGCACCACACACTCAAAGTTATACACAACATTTCACTCAATACTTCTGATTGTCGCACACTGTCATGAGAATAACGTAGAACAATAGAGAATATTTAATGTAACATTAAGTTGAGGGAACTAGTCTATTTTAATTTGAGTATGCACATGTATGTTTACTGATTACAATGTATAAACAACCTTAACAAAGGGTAAACTGGTTATTAGAAATGATTAATTGATAAATCTTAAAGCGTTTCAAAGTGAGCAGACCGGTAGAAATAAGGTGCTGTATTTGTAAGGTACAATGTACGGTAATCAAGGCTTTTTCTAACTTATTAGAAAAAAAGTAATAATAACATGCATATGCTTTATACAAAAGAAATACATGTAGATAGATAGATAGTGATACAGACATTAACACTATCTTTTACTGTAACGTTATATTTTTTAAAAGATCTTAAGTTTTTGCATCAGTTCATAAATACTGCAAACATCACTTTTGTAACCATAAGTACTCCGTAACTCTGCTAACACATAAAACCAATAAAGACAACGATTTAACAAATCGTAACTGTAGATAATAGCAACTTACTATGTTTTTTTTTTTTTGTGTGTGTGTGTGTGTGGGGGGGGTGAATCTCAAATTATGCATGTTTGTAATGTAACAGACATATGTCAAAAAGACTGTACAGCATATTTGTGTGGTGGGTAATGTATAGGGCATGCATAAACAAATAAAAAAGTTAATTGGTGTCTTATGTTTTTGGATTATGTTAACCAGTTATTTACATGTTATATGCCCAACAATTTCAAGTTAACACAATGTATTACAGAAGTAAACCCCTAATCGGGTTGAATTAGAAGTCTTCAACGTTACACATGGATTTAGGAAAAGGTAAAAGTAGAGTGATTTCACAGTAACACTTACACAGCAACACGGGTATAAAATACAGTAGAAATGTTTATAATAAAATACTAAATATGAATAGTGTTTGTGCATGTTAAGGCAAAAATGAACCGCACCATAATCCTGATGTAATATTTGGTCTGCTCACTCCTCTGTGCCAAACAGCAGAAATGTCTATGTTGCAATAAAAAAACGACATGCCATAAATTGAAACACTTACCTTTTATCCAGGAAACTTTCAGATGAACCCTGTAAAATGTGACAAACATGTATAAATGTAATTTTCTATTGCTCGGTTTGAATTCTTCTCCTCACACCATTTAAAAACTTCACGCAGGTAAGTGCTCTCAGGTTTACGCATCTGCTTCAAGAAGTCTCTTTTTCGGTTCTCCACAGCTGCTCTTTGACCTCGGAAGGTAAAGTGTTGAAAATATTGTCCTCCACGATTAGACCACTCTTCTTCAGCAATCTGCACTCCCCAAGTTCTACAGGAAGGCACTCGAGCCTGTTGCCCCTCAGCTCCAGCTGTGTCAGACTGGTGAGCTCCCCAAACCGAGAGGGAAGAGACTGCAGGCAGTTGTTTCCGAGATTCAGTGTTCGCAATTTCTTACACTGAAACAACTCAGGGGGAAGCGCTTCAATCTACAGGGAAAATGAAAGCATGAAAGAGAACAGAGATTAGAAAACAAAGCTGACTGGAGGTACAATCACATCACAATCATTAGTGTAATTTACAAGAATGTACAACTTGAATTTCAACAGAAGACCAGTAGCGCTTTTCCTTCATTCTTACAGTTATATTATTATTAATAATGTAATAATGTCATTTGTAAATATAAAAATTGATTTTGATGGCTGCAACACTCCCAAACTATTTTTTTTATGACAGAGGCTAATTAAAAGTGAAAAGACTACCTCATATCCAAGTTAAATTGTTTTAAAAGTCCACAATTAGCAGGTAAATTGGTAATAGGTGAGGGCATAATGATTAGGTATAATAGTACCATCCACCAAAGATGGATCATCATGGCTCACCACTTTGAGCAAAATTGCATAAGAAATGTCAAACAGTTAAAAAAAAAAAAAAAAAAAAAATCACAGCAAATTTACTATAATATTGTGAAAAGATTCATGGGATCTAGAGAAATCTCAGTACATGTAGAGCAAGGCAGGAAACCTATGCTAAATGTGCGTGGCCTTCGAGCCCTCAGATGGCATTGCATGAGAAACTGTCATGCTATTCTGTTAAATACAGTCACATGGGCTCGGGAGTACTTTGTAAAACCATTGTCACATAACACAGTCTGAAGCTGCATCAAGAAATGCAACTCGAATCTCTGTTACGCAAGGATAAAGCAGTACATCAGTTCCATGCAGAGATACCGATGAGTTCTCTAGGCCCGAGCTCATCTCAGGTGGTCCAAAAGACAGCTGTGGTCAGCATGTGTGCTGTGGTCAGGTAACCCCAAGTTTCAGCTTGTTTTTGGGAAAAAAATGGACATCAACTTCTCAGTCCCAAAGACGAAATGGCCCATCCAGTCTTTCATCAGCGAGAGGTGCAAAAGCAAACATCTGTCGTGGTTTGAGGATGCAGTGCAAATGATTAAAATGAAGGAAAGCTGATGTGACACTGTGGTAAACATGCCTCTGTCCCAACTTTTTTTGGAGTGCGTTGCAGCCATCAAAATAAAATAAATTATATATACAAAAAGCAATGTTGTTGGTCAGTGAAAGCATGCCAGAGTTAATAAATGACAGATTCTTGATTTTATTGCATTTTACAAAATGTCCCAATTATTTTGGAAATAGGATTGTATCTATTGTTAATTATTAGTAATTATTATTTTATTACGTAGGCCTGCTTTTAATAAAAATAAAAATATAAATAATCGAAAAACATCTGAATCAGTGGCAATTAGAAAAGCTATGAAGTGCTATTTTCATTTAAAAAAATGAAACAAGAAACCAAGCTAAAACAAAATTTTCATGACTTCAAAACTGGCCACACATTAAAGGGATGGTCCCTTTGAAATTAATTTTTGGTATGTTTTAGCTTACCTCAAGGACATCCAAGATGTAGGTGTCTTTGTTTCCACAGTAGTTTTAATTTTGATATTTTTAGGTCATACCGTTCTTGTCTGTCAGTCATATAAAGCAGGTCTATGGTCACCACCTCAAAGAGCATGCACAGAGAAGTCCCTATTAAACGTGACTTGACTCGTAAATGTACACATTGATGGCCTAAGACATGAAATGAGCGGCTTGTATGCGAAAACGAACAGTATTTATATTGTTTTATAACTCTTGTAACCACAGCCACGTCTAAGTGATGTGAGGACGTGGGCACTTCGGTCTGCGCAAGTGCCGGAAATGATCTCTTGCGTGTGTACGTCACTCATTGTTTACACAGAAATTTCAGAAGTGTTACCCTTCACTGTAAAGATCTAAAAATATTTAGATATACAGGAAAACGCAATGAACAACGAATTCGATATATCAACAGACAACATTTTTTTTTCTTTTTTTTTTTTTCGCGACCACGCGAGAAATCACTTCCGTCTCTTGCGCAGAGCGAAGCGCCCGCAGCATCAGATCACTTGGACATAGCTGTGGTTACAAGAGGTAAAAACTAAATAAATACTGTTCGGTTTTTTTTTTTCACACAAACCGCTCGTTTCGTGTCTTAGGCCATCAATGTGTACTTACATTTACAAATCATTAAATCATGTTTAATTTTGCATGCTCTTTGAGGTGGTGACCATAGACCTGCTTTATATGACTGACAGACAAGAACGGATTGACCTAAAAATATCAAAATTGAAACTACTGCGTAGTTCAAACAAAGAGAAAGACACCTACATCTTGGATGCCCTTGAGGTAAGCTAAAACATACCAAAAATTAATTTCAAAGTGAACTATCCCTTTAAAAATCATTTTAGCATTTGATATGTGGTATTTTGTAAAACTTAATTTATACAGTCCTAAAATACTAAAAAAATCTAAAAGTACTAATATTACTTATAAAAATAAATAAAAATAAAACCCAATAGAAATAAAAGCAAAATTAAAACTCAAAACTACAATAGCCATGAACTTGACTTACCCTATTGGCAGTTACAGCAAGGTACTGAAGGTTCTGCAGAATTCCTATTTCTGATGGGATGTGAGTCAGATTGTTATGGCTCAGATCAAGAAACCTCAGCTTCCGGCAGAAGAAGAGCTGATGTGGAATTTTCTCAATCTTGTTGCGGTTCAAATAGAGGCGCTCAAGGTTGATCAAAGTACCTATCTGGATAGGTATGTACGCAATCTGATTATACCACAACTTTAGACAAACAAGTCGATGAAGATGCTGAAAACTAATGATCTCCTCAATGGTTTTCAGGTTGTTGTCCTTAAGATCGATCTCCTGTAAATTGTGCAGGCTGAAGATAGAATGTGGTATGCGCTCCAGATCGCAGCGGACGAGCTCCAGCTCGGACAGGTTCACCATCTTCTTGAAGCTGTTGAGCACCATCAGCTTGGTACCTTCGTTGTTGATGGACAGCTTCTGGAGGTGCATTCCAACATCCGTGACCACCTGAGGCAGCTTTGTTAAGTTGCTTTTCAGTCTCAAAACCTTTAGTCGCTTCAACTCTCGTAAACCATCAATGACGATGTAGCGATTGTTGTCAGCACTAAGGTTCCCAGTAAGGTGCAACTCGCTTAAATTCTTCAAGCTGTAGATCCATAAAGGGATCTCCTTTATGTCGGTGAACTTGATGTGCAAAGATTTCAGGTTCTCTCTCAGAAACGCGAGCGCTGGAGCCTCTATTCTTGCTGGCGTGTGGTACAGCCACATCTCTCTGAGGTTAGTAAGCTGGGCAATGATTGGTGGGATGGTGACATCAGGAATGAGCTCAAGCTTCAGAACCTCCAACTCCACCAAGTCAAAAACTGTGTCTGGAATCCCAGTGAGCATGAAAAGGTGGAGCTCCAACTTCTCTTGGGAGTTTTTGGTGATCCTCTGCCGAAGCTTTTCCAAAGTCCACTCGTTGTTGAGGTTCAGCTGGCGAAGTTTGTTCTCGCTGACCTCTGAGAGGAACACGGCAAATCGCTTGGAATACAGGGGGTCGTACTGGTCAATCATATGCAGCATGAAGGCAAAGTCGTTTTTCACATCTGGGATATCGCTGTAGCTGCTCTCCTCTCGGATTGATTCAAACGAATACTTCTTGAGGGAACGTCGAAGCATCCAGCTGAGGGTGTATACACAGATCATGCCATACACGATAACTAGACTAATGTAGAAGCAGGCTAAAATCTTGAAGAGAGTGGCCAAGGGATGGGCACAGTTGTACATGCGATAACCAGTCAGACTCTCGATGTCCACATTGCAGTCAACGTTGAACTGAATATTGTGTACATAGTAGCCGGTATAGCAGATAATAAGGATAAACTTAACAACTTTGATGATAGTCTGTCGGATGTAGAGTCTGTAGACTATATCGCCTTCTTCAACGTGAATCCGAAACTTCTTCACCTTCTCAAACAACGCCTTGGCTTGTTCACCTTCCTTTTTGTCCAGGACACCAGTCTCGGAGTGGTCCACGATTCCTTGTTCAATTCGAGACCTGGTTGCTGACAGCATGGGAACACTCGCTTCAACGTCTTCGCTAACATACGAAGCCTTCTTATCGAAGGAGCCATTCATTTTCACCAGCGCTTTGGGATCGCTTTCCTCCACGACGGTTTCAGACAGAGCTCGTGTGGTCCACGGCGAGTCAAAACATTTCAGGAGGATAGACACAAAATGTTCCAGTTTTGAGCTTGTCCAAGGGAACTTGAACCAGAAGTTGCTGCAAGCCAGAAAGATGAGCGTATGCAGTAGCACCAAATATGGGAAATACTTAGCAAACCAGTGAAGCTTGTTTTCATAGCACACAGCATCGACATAATTGTACTGGTGTCGATCAAGGTCATACTGGATTCCTTGGGGTTCAAGGGTCAAGGGCACAGAAAATGTTGAATTGAAATACTTCCTACAGGTCTTGTTAACTACCCATTTGCAGGGCAGGCAGATCATCTTGTCCTGTGTGACCTGAAGAGTGCCCCCAAATACTGCAATCATCAGCATTACGACCGATAAATAGTCCGTGAACACGTCCCACCATGGCTTTAGGATGCGATACGTAGGTTGCGTGTCTACAAAGTAGCGCAGCTCAGTTATGGGGATCATGATTTACCTGAAATGAAAATATGGGCATTGTCATACAAACAGCATCTATATACTTACTAATTATGCTTTATTTATCACAAAAAAATAACTCTATATCATCTTCCAAAATAAACATCTGAAACATATTTTACCGAAGTCGAGGACAGTTGTCTTCCCCGGCTGCTACACAAGAAGACTCCGCCAAAAGAATGTTCTGGCTTTCTTGTCATCTATTATTAGCCATTTCCGATAATAACACTGAAGAATTGTCTCCTCTGGCTTTGGAGAGTCCGTGACCCCAGGATTCAAATCCTGTTTGTCTAAGGCAGGGCAGTGTCTGAAAAGTGTCTCCTCAGTTAGATTTTACCTAATACTCCACATTTCCATTCAGGAACTGACACTCATCACAGTCCTTTTTGTCTGGATGGGACACAGATATCCTGTCGTAAAAAAAAAACAAAAACAAAAAAAAACATATACAACGTCAAATACGTCCACTATGCATTTTCTGAGAGCCATTTCAAAGCAGTTTTAATCTTAGTTCTTCCCTGAAGCGAAAAATAACAAGTTGTAAACTTATTTCCTTTCCATTTACTTGAAACATTATTTTAAATGACATAACTGACTAGTGATTATATAAGAGGCAACTTAAATAAGCTGAGACATAGAAACGTTTTTGTTTGAAAGACAAAATGACAATATCTATATTAATTGAAAGAAGATAATAAGGTGATATAGACGTTGATCGACAAATAAGGATAATAGACAACTGGATTAAACCAGTTCACTTCTGAATCCTCCCAGCTAGATGCGAGTCTCCCACAGTTTAAATTCTATTGTTATGAACTGAAAACAATAATAAACCAGGCCCGTACATACTGTCATGTGTGTTTATGACGAGATTCGCCGCTCAGCATATGAATGACTGCATGTGCTAATATTAGTTTGCTGCTTGTCTTTGTATAAAAGGGCAGAGTGTCTTTGTATTCCCCGTCGAGGGAAACAGATCGGCATTTAACAAGATCATGTACTCACCCCACCGTGTGCTGCCACCTCTGCTCCATGTGCGGTGTCGTCGGGCTGATGAGCTCAGGAAGCAGAAAAGAAAGTGGCAGAACCAAGACAAACAGCGCAAATTGCAATCTCAGCTGTGCAGGGGTCAATTGTATTTCATAATCAGTTCTTTACACTAGAGGGCAGTGCGATCTGGTTTTAGATTTTGTCTTCAGTTTCACGTCTCATTACCGCCACGCACTGGATTGGAGCTGGAATCACAACCTTCATACCATTTTATTGTCAATTGCCTTAATGTTTTAATTATAATGTTTTTTTAATTATAACATATTGTGTGTACCCCTTAAATAACATTAACAGTTATATGATATGTATAATTTTTTCGGTAATTTCAGCACGTTTATTGCTAATATTTTCTCATTAGAGTTCTTTTCGACAAATATGGCACTAAAAAGTTAGACAATCCTTTAATATTTAGGTTTTTTATGATTTATGTATTATAATCAACACTATACTAATATATTATCATACTAACAGGCTATAATTTGTATTATTATTGTTTAATTTTCCTTCTTATTATTATTGGAATTAAGAAATGAAAAATAATTACATCAAATCCATGGTTGTATATGATGATGATTTTATTATTATTATTATTTATTTATTTTTTGCTGTTTATAGCTATCATTGCATTGCGTGCAAGATGGTCTGGGAATGTGTGAGAAAAAAAAAGACATCTTTATTTATTATGATGAATCATTGATTATTGTTCACAAGAAGACGACTATCAGACACAAGATACTGACTATAGAGTGGTGAGATATCTAATAAATAGTAATTACTCAATAATTAGGCTACTTATTGAAATCACTTTATAAAAATATTTAAGGTAATGTGCCAAGGCTGCAGGACCCAAATTAGTAACGCGAAGGATTGTGACAATTCTAAAACTCTCAACTAATCGTTTCACAACCATTTTTTTTTTTATTATTTGTTACATTCATTGGTTTATAATCTTTATTGTAGATTGATTACATCAATTTTCTTTAAACGGCACTGTTACTTATTTTATTACTTATTATATTATTACTTATTACTTATATTGCTTAATATAATGTGCAACAACAGGCCCACCCTGGCACATACAGCTGTGCCTGTGTGTTCTTTATGGACTCTAAAACTCATCCAGCATCCAGGACCAGTCTTCTTTCAAAACTCAAGTCAGTATCACAAGTGACACTACAATCTGTTCTCAGATCAGCTGTAAGCAGAGCAAAAACCTCTAGCATTTACATTTCCCACAACAGGAGGCTTAAACAAAGACCACTTCATTCAGAAAGGCTGCAGGTTATGTCAACAAAGCTCCAAACTCTGCTTGACTCTGTTGAATGGGCTTCTTCTAAGCATTTAAAGTCACTGTGAGTCAAAATTGACAATTCTTCTTATTTAAATGGAATATTGCAGTATTTATACAGATGGAACAACATCTATTTTCTTCTTTGATAACGTGTTTATTGGTCGATCCAGTCAATTCCCAATGGACAAAATCAAACCCCACCCACATGTGTTCTTGTTAGAATGTAGCTGACTCAAATTGAGCTTTAAGCTGACTCAAATTGCATCAGTTCAACTTTAGCTAAGTTGAACCAGACAGACCTATTGAATATAGCTCGGCTTCGTCCAACATATTGGCATCTGCGTTTTGCACATGCTCTGAAAGGCAGCAGTGACACAATTTTAATTTAATCCACAAAATATTTGATTAGTGTGTTATTTGTGCTTGGAAAACTGTGTGTGCTCTGTGAGAGAGAGAGAGAGAGAGAGAGAGAATACCTAAAAAAAAGTCTGAAAGGTATACGGTATTTTATTTTTCTTTATTTCTCTTTTGGCTTTTTTTTTCACTGGTTAAAGTTGACAAAAAATATTCTGTAATCATTTATAGCATTGTTAAGCCAGATTTTCAGTGACAGCTTAAATTTGAGTCCATTCCTCACATAAAATTATCATATCGCTTATGGCTACTTATTATTTTTGGAGCTCATAAATTCTGAAAGAAAGTCATAGAGGTTAGGAACAACATTCGTAACTTAATCGCCATTATTTATCTCTCCAGTGAGGAAAGACTATTTGAAATGTGAAATTAGATTTCTAAATCAATAACAGGACTGTCTATAGCACATCTTTGAATTTCCATTGTAATTGCTGCTAAAGGGCGGTCACACACACAATTTCTTCAGACACTGCTAAGGTCATCAAGTACTTTTTAAAAACATGAATTTAACAAATAAATCCAAAATATGAAAATACACAATCTACATTTTCCTCAAACTTTGAAGTTTATGCTTTTTTAATTCAGCTAGGAGTCACACATCTTCAGACGACACATGTTTTGCAGGTCAGAGTTCACCAAACTTTGGAATGCAACAAAATCAGAAATTTTTCATCTCCAGCATTCACATGTGTATGAATGGAAGTGAGTGGACTGAAAGTGTAGTGGGACTGCCTTTCTATTTCCTGCACAGACTGAGCACGGCCTTCAAAGATACAGAAAACAAGTCAGATAAGTAAAAGAAAAAAAAACACAGACACTTTTTAAGACCCACTCAACCCTGACAACTCACCCAAGTTTTTTTTTTTTTTTTTTTTTTGATTGACATTCAAGTTCCCAGTTGGTTTTGATCTGACAGCTGCAGGCTTGAACGTTTCAGTGACCTCAGTGGTTCCCCTCACCAGGTGGTCCTTTCATTCCAGTGAATTCCTTGCAACTATTTATCACCAAAGATGAGAGGGAATAGTTAAAAACATTTAATATAGGGTTTCCCCTTATCCCCACAAAACAACATCCAGCCAATTAAACCATTCTGTGAATTCTTGCAAAAAGATATTTTTTCCTCCTGTCCCTTTTTGTCATTTCAGCTGCCAAGCTGTTTTTCTCAGTGCTGAAGCCCCCTTTCTGTAATACTGTGATTGTCATTTATGCTAAACACCTCTCTCTCTTCCCAAGGCAGTCTCATAATAGAGCTCGACTCTGAATGGTGCCCTTATTCCCAAGAACGAAAGACACAAGAAAGTTAAAAAGAGGCATCAGACTCGTGAAAAATGTGGTTTAGGCAATGATGTAAAGTGAATTGAGCTTCGAACATTGAGGAAATAGGCTCATGGATGCTAAGTGGAGAAGAGGGAATAGAGTGTGCTTTTAGTTCACCAGACTGAGTGAACCATTCAAAGGAATGCTGTCCGCCACTTGGATTTGTTCAAGGAACAATAGGCATTCAAGCATTCAGAGATGCTAAATTGAAATGTTTTCTCATAGAGTTTGACTACACGGTGCTGTCTGAGCAAAGTTCTTAGACTGCATCACGATCACTCAAACTTAGCACTTGGTTTAACAATAAATTCACAAAAACTAACAGAGGTTTTTAGTACAACATGGACATTTGTCTGAATTGTCTAAAAATTTTCATTTTTCTAAAAATGTCTGAATGTCATTGCATTAGATACAAAATAGCTAACCTCAGAACTAATTTCACTATGACTTTTAATGAAGAGGTCCAAAAGTGTTTTTTTTAGTGGATAGTCAGTTCTCCTGGTTCACACAAGTGTCCTGTGACCAGGTGTAGTTCATTATTATTATTATTTTTTTTTTTGGTGAAATGTTATTCTGAAAAGGCATGTTTGCATTTTGTTTAAAATAAATGTCACGTTTTAATAATTTAAATGGGGTGAAGAACTGAGAAATCAAATTTTCCTTGAGCTTTTGACATCCAAGAGGTCATCATATTATACGAATATCCTAAGTTTCAGAACTGAAACGTCCTTGTTAGTCCAATAAAAGCTTTTATTGACACCAGCCTCAGCAAACGACTCCTTTTTCAAAGTGGGGAACTATGACGTCAGAGAGGATAAAACACCACCCCCACAGAAGAAGATCAACGCCTACTTCAACACAGCCGGTTAGGTGCCCACCGATTCGCGCATTACACATTCTTTCCACTGAGGACTGTTTTGAAACAAGACTGGATTTGCAGACCGATTAACTCTTTCCCCGCCAGCGTTTAAAAAAAAAGTTGCCAGCCACCGCCAGGGTTTTTGACGATTTTCGCTAAATTTTAATGCCCCGCTGAATATTTTCTTCCATGAATATATGAAGATGATATATATAAAAATAAAGATCTGAGCCTCTGTTTTTAGGCAAAAAAAAACGTTTTTATTTTATCTTCATTTGTTCTTTTTTTATTGCCTCTTGAACAGAGGTAGGTTTTGTCAAAAACACAACATTTTGGACAAAAAACTGAGAAAAAGGTATTTTTATCAAACAAGTGCATTTAAAAGCAGAATACATTCAGATGTTGTTTCCTTCATATATAAAACTTTCCAAAATAAATTAAAAACATAAATAAATGTAAAATATATCAAATTTCCCAGGATGTAAGGGAAATGTAACTTTTGCAATAAAACTTCTGCCTCTGCCTCTCTGTGTTCTACCTGTGAATAATGAATAATTGGAATTACAATAAACAGGCCTAGACACACACACACAAATACATATTACAATGTGGTAAATGTGCACAAAGAGAGAAATAATTTGACAATTACACCTTCATATTTAGACAGCCACACATAAATGCCTGCACACACACATAATTTATAAATATTATAATGTCATAATATTATACGATCTATCTGCGGCACGTCCATGGCTAGAACTTTCTGTGACAACATGTGCATCTCTCTCACTGACTACTTCGTCCCGATCAGATTCAGAATTATCAAATAAAGAGTGATCAGACTCCGAGTCCATTAACCTCCAGTACTTCAGCCATATACCTCTGCATTGTCTGTCTGATACATTCTCACCACTCCACTGTTTGAGACTATTGCAATCTGTTTCTCTGATCAAAGAGTTGCGCACTCATTCAGAACATGCGCGCGGGTCTTCCTTACCGTATACCACCTAAAACACGGATACCCGGAAAATTCCGTGTTTGGCGGGGATGCGTTTTTTCATTAAACCCGGAAAATTCCGTGTTTGGTGGGGAAAGAGTTAAGAGTAAAGAACGGTGCTGTGCTGTCTATATTGGATCTGACAGGAATGATGCAACACACGGACTCTTGGTTGAACATGTATCATTCCGGTTGCCATTTTACAACATTGGATGTTTTCAAAACAATTTCCCCCACGTACACCGACGAGGTGAGTTGAAACTCATTATAATATGCAAAACTGTTATCCACTCACAGCAGAGGGCGTTTATTTCCAAGTCTTCAGTTCGAGACGCCCATAAAAACCGAGCGTTTCTGAGATCTGAGATCTGAGCAAAACTGGGGTAGAAAATAGCCTATTACTGATTCATTTTGATGTTTTTGAATGCAAAAACCGAACATCATGTTCACCTCAGACAACAATACAATTTAAAAAGCCAGTTCATGACCCTTTTAATATTTAATACTAATGTTACTATTTTGTTTTAAGGTGAGCTTAAAGGGATAGTTCAGTCATGGAAATTCTGTCATCATTTACTCACCCTCAAGTTGTTCTGAATCTTTATTATTTCCTTCTTGTGCTGAAGAAACTTTTTTTTTTTCCCATATGGAAGTCACTGCAAACCAACTATTTGGTTACCAACATTCAGTGTGTCATTAATAGATAATTAGTTACTTCCTTTGCAGTAAGTAATGCAGGACTAATGAGTAGTACATTAACACTTCAGCTGTTAACTATCAGTAAGTAATATTGAATTTAGCACTAAGATGGTTAATCAATAATTACGTAATGAGATTGGCATCACTAAGAACTAATTATGAAAAATTATAAAGCATTACTAATAAATGCTTTATAATTTGTAGACACATTAATTACAGTATTAAAACTTTAGCAATTGTCTTTTTTTACTCTCAACGTGGTCATAAAATGTGTCACTAATCACTCAAGTGTTACCTAGACACTATGCAGGAACTACTAGCAATTTGGACCATTATTTTAAAGTGAAGAACATCTTTTTCACTTTAAAATAATTTCAATATATGTTATCACAACATTTTTTTCTTTTGTCAAATCAACTTAAATAATTTATTTAGTTAGTTCAGATAACTTATTATTTTGAGTTTCTGATGATTAAATTAATCACCTTCATTGTATTAAGTCACTTTTTCCATTTCAATCAACTTAAAGTTTTCAGGCAACCAGGTTACTTAATTTTTTAAGTTAAAGCAACACTATTTATTTACAGTGTAGTTCTTGAAGATAGTATTTTTTTACTCAGAATATGGTCATAAAACGCGTCACTAACTCACGTACCTCACTCTTGAAGTCATTAAGTCTCACTATGATCTGGACTATTATTTTAAAGTGATAAAGATGTTTTTCACTTTAAAATAATGGTCCAAATCACTAGTAGTTCCTGCATATGTAACTAGGTAACACTTGAGTAATTAGAGATGCATTTCAGCCCATTCTCACCCCCAAGGTGTCACTTAACTGACATGCTTCAATATCTGACGCTTTAGGCGCCCTTTAGCGTCAGTTAGATGATGCCCTAGGATCGCGTGTACCCTACCCCCACCCCACACCTAAACCTAACCGCGTCCTCTAGCTGACGCTTTCCTTTAGCGTCAGTTAAATGACGCCGTAGGATCGCGCCTAAAACGTCAAATATTGAAGCATGGTCAAAGGTGACGCCTTGGGGTGAGAATGCGTTGTGCATTTTATTTAAGTCAAAATGATAACTGATTATGTCTCAGACACACAATACAGTTCTTTATAATTTGTCAGTTAGTTAATAGTGAGGCTAATCTCATTAAGTTATGATTGATTGCTTAATACGGAACTTATCTCCTAAATTGATATTACTTACTGATTAGTTAAGCTTGTTTCTATATTAGTTAATAGCAGCTGAAGTTAATGTAGTCCTTAGCCCTGCATTACTTATTACTAACGGACCATTAGTTTTACCCAACATTCTTTAAAATACATGTTCAACAAAACAAAGAACTTCATTCAGGTTTAAAACAACATAAAGGTGATTAAATGATGACAGAATTTTCTTTTTTGGGTGAACTATCTTTTAACGTGTCCATCCATTTTGGGGTTACTTTTGGGGGACAATGGAGAGTCTTTGCAAATAAATGCTATGTAATTGCATTTTAAATGTTTTGTTCCCCACCAATTTCAGGATCTTGTTAAGTTAAACAGCTATTAAAGTGGCCAATAAAACCGTCAGAAGTTGTCTGCTGTCCATCTTGGATGTTTTTTTCAGTGAGATGTTGAGCACTGCATAAGTAAAGAGTGTTGTGAAGGAGAAGGCAGAGGCATGCTGTGAATGAATGGAGAAGGGGGTTGCATTCCTGGGCCAGGGCTTATTCCACTCAGTCGAGTGGGAGTGTGCAACAGGCTGTGAGAGTGTGTATGTGCTGACAGAGTGTGTGAATATAAGGGAGTGCAGTGCAACAACCAACCTCACAGCTAATTAGTTCAACCCTTGACAAAAGGTGGGCCAGCCACTGAAGAGAACCCCCGGGGGCCGGCGTAATAAGGCTCCACAGATAGCTCTGGGACTAGAGACGAGAATGCTAATAGGGGACCTCCACATGTTCACCCTTTCTGGAGCTTAACTGATGTTTTGAACTTCTGTCGAGCATGTGAGAGCTGGAGACGGGGGATTGCTGTATAGGACGTGTGAGACTTGTAGTTGGAAATCATGTCTGGACCAGATTCTGATGATGATAGGACCTTCAAAGACTGTGAGTAAGACCTAGCAGAAGTGTAGATGAAGAGTTCAGATGCAAAAGCCTCTAAATGCCATTTGAAATTTTCTTCTTTAATGATGATTTTTATCAAACTTGTATATTTAAGTTCAGTAATTTCACTTAAATAGCAATGATAATTACCTATTAATTGTTATTTAAGTGAAATTACTGAACTTAAATATATAAGTTTGATAAAAATCATCATTAAAGAAGAAAATTCCAAATGGCATTTAGAGGCTTTTGCATCTGAACTCTTCAGATGTACTTCTCTGTCATGAAGAAGCAATACAGTATCGCATAACTGTGAAGGGGGGACTTGTTTGTCCTGTTGTTTCAAAAATGTAAAGGCTCAGGATATGTATTCATCCTTTAAGTGCAGAAAGTTTGCAGGTTTGAGTCTTGCTAATGACAATTTAGTAAAAATCCTGTGATTAAATAAAAAAAAAAGCCAGTAAAGTTATTTATAATGTTGCAAAACATTTCTATTTCAAATAAATGCAGATATTTTTTTTTTAAATCTTTAAATAAATGTTTATTTTCATCAAGGAATCCTGAAAAAAAAGTATGACAATTATTTCACAAGTAGCATTTATGCTTCTTGAGCAGCAAATCAGCATATATTAATTATTTCTGAAGAATCATGAGACACTAAAGACTTGAGTAATGATGCTGATAATTCAGCTCTGCCATCACAGGAATAAGTTATTTTAAAATATAGTAAAAAAAAAAAAAATACAACAACTGTAAAACACAATATTACTGTGTGGTTATTTAATGTGTTTTGGTCAAACATTCAAATATTGTGGGCAAAGTTTTAAAATAATATTGTTGAAGAGTGCAGTTTTACATTTGTTTTAGTTGTATTTTATATTGGGGTATAGCGCTCTGTGCTGAACGTTGACCTTATATGCTGCCTATTATCTATAGGCTCCCCCTAACTGGATGATACTGCAAAAAGTAACAATGTTTACCCAGCAAACAAATTTAGGTTCTGGGAACGTTAGTTTTTGGTTCCCAGAATGTTCCTAGAACTTTCCCTTAATGTTCCCGGAACATTCTCCTTACGTTATAAAAATATAACCTAAAAATAACCTACATGGAATGTTCCTATAACATTCTTGTTTGGTTCCCAAAAAAATAACCTCATGGGACCGTTCGGGAACGTTAGGGGAACGTTCTGTGAACTAGTCAGGGGAGATCACAGTGAAAAAAACACTTAGATGATAGGGGGTGTTGATGAAATACAGTCAATCATTTGATTGAACCAAAGCTCAATCATTCACAGACACAGCTTTTGTTTCTGATCCACTTCAGCTGAAACAAGGCAGTTCATACACCAGGAGACTGGAATTAAACACTCACGTAGTGTGTGTTGAACCACAAACATAGGCAGGGTGGTGCTCGCAGCAGCTGACTCTTTCAAACAAACAAAAAGCTGGAAAATTTCACGCTGTAAAAACAAGTCTGTGTTCCCACATTCATGGTGTTTTTTACAAAAATATACCTTTGGTTCCCCTTCTTAATATTATTGCTGACCCCTTTAGAGGGGGTGTGTTTTATACAACGTGAGCTGATTAAAGCAAGACTGCACAAACATTGCACTTACTGTGGGTGTGAAACACAGAAATCACACCACAACTCCCTGATGTGTCCATGGACACCTGTTTGTTTTGCTAGGAAAATGATTCCATGTGCTGATGCTGGACAGGCGTCACACTAATGTTACAGTGGATGTTGGTTTAAATGGAAAGACTGACATGAAGGTAAACAATTGTGTTTTAATGGTGACACGTTAAAATGTTAAGTAATAAAATGGCTAAGTTAACATGAATTGATTAATAATATTTATATTTTGGTTTCTCTACGATTGTTAATTTTAAATTCTTTCATTGTTTATTCATCCTCCAGAATCTATTTTTGAGTGTACATTAAAGGATTGAAAAAACTTTTGCTGATAATTTACTCACCCCCATGTCATCCAAGATGTCCAGGTCTTTCTTTCCTCAGTCGAAAAGAAATTTAGGTTTTTGATGAAAACATTCCAGGATTTTTCTCCATATAATGGACTTCAATGGGAACCGGATGGTTCAAGGTCGAAAAGACAGTTAATAACAGTTTCAGATGCAGCTTCAAATGTCTTTAAACGACACCAGACGATGAATAAGGGTCTTATCATGCGAAACGATCGGTTATTTCAAAACTTATTCCAAAAATGTAACTTTTCTAAGGACAAATGCTAGCCTTGCTCTATTCTGTGAGGCGCGTTTGCAACGTCACGTATTACGTAATTACGTTCAAAAGGTCACGGGCGACGTAGCCGAAAGTACAGAGTCAGTGTTTACAAGTTGAACGCATAGGTTGAACGTGCAAACTAGCTCAAATACCGTTTACAAAAAAAGGAATTAAAAGGAAAAACAACGATGTCGGACGATTTTGATTCTGTACTTCCGGCTACGTCGCCCGTGACCTTTTGAACGTAATTACGTATTACGTGACGTTACAAACGCGCCTCAGAGAATATAGCAAGGCTAGCATTTGTCCTTAGAAAAGTTACATTTTTGAAATAACCGATCGTTTCTCATGATAAGACCCTTATTCATCGTCTGGTGTCGTTTAAAGACATTTGAAGCTGCATCTGAAACTGTTATTAACACTATCTTTTGGACCTTGAACCATCCGGTTCCCATTGAAGTCCATTATATGGAGAAAAATCCTGGAATGTTTTCATCAAAAACCTAAATTTCTTTTCGACTGAGGAAAGAAAGACATGGACATCTTGGATGACATGGGGGTGAGTAAATTATCAGCAAAAGTTTTTTTCAAAAGTGAACTAATCCTTTAAAGAGAAAAGTCTTTTATGTCAATGTAAATGCTGAATGATGAATCATAACATTTGCCTGTTGCAACGATTACGACAAACGTGTCAGGTGACTTAGACTGCATATCAGAGCTATAGATCAGTATAAAATGTAGCCATATAAAACTGTCTGAATTAAGTTTGTCAAGTTCAGTGAAGTTTATCCAATGTAGTTTTCCCCACTTGAAAGGGTATGCTTGCTTCTAAAGGTTTGGACTGGATTTTACTCAATGACCAGGAATCAATTCTTTCTTTTCTTTTATTTGAAAGTTGTCAAAAGCAGGTAAAAACCTTAAACACAAACACAAGTAAATCAAGAAAACACATAATAAACCCAAGTAACCATAATAAAGCATAATTTTTGAGGACACTTTTCAAATAAAGACACTTTTAAAGCACCGCTAAAATGATTTTAACCGTAGCAGCTTTTTAACGCGTTTAAAGCTTTACAATACATTTCTTTTAACTATGCTTTTAAACATTCTTAATGTTAAATGTACAAGACTTTAGCTTTCAATTCCAACACATGATTTTTTACACATTTTTTAACACGTGATTTTATACACAAATTTTTCCCTAAATATAATTGCACCACACTGCACAAACGAATGCTCACCGACTCCTTCCTTGTCCTAAACAAGCTTTAGTCCTGCAGTCTCATTTTCCCAGCTCCTCAACACATCATTCCAGCCTGCTTAACCCTGTATGATTAACAGGCACAATTTCAACAAACACAGCAGTCAAAAACCTCATATGTAACCACTTAGACTCTTAGACATTATAAACAACTGAACCTCTGCAAATTATTAGTGACCTGGGAGGTAAAATATTGAATACTAACAGACAAGATTTAAATAAAATACTCAATGTACTGAATGGGCTCTATGCACGGCGGTATTTCCGGTGAAGGTGTAAGGATGCTTGATAACTTCCGCCGATCGTAGAGTCCAATGCAATACCGAGAATTTATATTGAATTTTATACTCCATGGTTAAGAAACGCTAGTCACAAAAACAGACAGGCACCCCTCGTTGTGTTTATGCTTCTTTTTAAAATTATAAACATAACTATATATAAAATTACATCTAAACGTATGTGCGTTTCGTTTCAAAGACGGGAGGACAGTACATTTTGAAGACTCTGCCATAATCCCGATTTCCTCGGTTCTCCTCCACTTTAATCTCCACAACCGGAAATGGACGAGCATCCTTGCGTCAAATGCGAAATTTATGCGTGCATACAGCCCATTCATCACAAATCATCTTAAAGGCATACTTCTCTCATAAATGAAAATGTATGATTTACTCGTTCCAAACCTATATGAGCTTCTTCAAGACAATGTTGTTAATGTAAATACAATACATTTTTCATAAATTATTTCGTGTTCAGAAGAAAAAGAACAAAATTCAGTTTTGGAACAACATGAAGGTGATTAAATAATGACAGTTTTATTTGTGTGTGTGTGTAAACTGCTTATATCATATTAAAATTACTAAATCATGTTTTTTTGAAAATGTAAAAAATCAGAAAGTATTCTGTGATGGTTTTGTTCCATCACAGAAAAGGGGGAAGGGTTAGAGTTAGAGGATAGAATATTGTACAGTATAAAAACCGCTATGTCTATGTACAACGCGTTATAACGGGCTCCTATGTAAAGTCCCCATAAAAGATGGAAACCCAAAGTGTGGGTGTGCACCTGATTTTTCCAATATTATGAGGACTACATGTCCCCACAAGTATAAAAAAAAACAGTATTTTTTTTTTACCTTGTGGGGACTTTTTTTTTTTTTGTCTGCATAAAGTTTTCTTAGGGGATAGAATAAACCATTTGTACTGTAAAAGTCACTATGTCTTGGGTGAGAGAAATCATACTTCCTTACCAACGCATTCTCATCCCAAAGCGCCATATACAACGCTTTTGCAAAGGCGTAAATATCCAACGCACATGGCACCCTTTAACGTCTAATGAGACGCTTCGGTTATGGTTAAGTTTAGGTATGGTGTAGGGTAAGGGTTAGACCACTAGGGGGCGCCTTCTGCCCAAATATATCTGCGTCTCATTTCACGTTAAAGGGTGCCATGTGCGTTGGATATTTACGCTTTTGCAAAAGCGTCCTATATGGCGCTTTAGTGGTGCATATTGTGCACATCAAAATGTATGTGATCTAATTTCTAAAAATTCTCCTTTTCCTGCTCTTGCTTAGTGAATGTTGTGCGAATGCTTCACAAGTTTTGGGAGCAGAAACAAGTGAAAGGTGTGATGATGGAGACAGAGAATCTGATAGTCTATGAGTCCATTCCCTCACCAAGCCCTCCCTACACGTGCTACGTCACCTTACCAGGTGGCAGCTGCTTTGGAAATTTTAAGGTAAGTGAACTGAAATTGAACTTCCACATTTTTATTTGGCATGTACTGTATTGGATAAATACAGACACCCTTTCTTATGCCCTTTCTAATTTTTAAAAACTTTGAGAAAAATATTCATTTCAAATTACTTTAAATCTCTTCATTTTTTTTTTTTTTTTTTTTTTTTTTTACAATTCCTTAACTGTCACCGTCCCGGAACGCCTAAACTTACTTCACTATATTTCTATTAAATCCTAATCTAATTATGACAAATTATCATTGGAAAGGTCTAAGACTTCTAAATAGATATTCTAAATAGATGTTTTGTGTTACAAATTATGTAGGAAGAGTAATTGATGAATTAATGACAAGAGTGGAAAAAAATCTGCATCATAACAGGAGTTCTGACCTGTCACAAAAAGTCCATGCACCCACTTTTAATCATTGAAACTTTTTCATGCTAAAAGTTCATAATAAAACACATATTATTCAAATATAATGTAGTATTTTTCAATAAAAAAAAATAGTATAATATTATCATCTAAAAACGATAATATAAATAAATTATTCTCTAAAATATTGTATTTTTTTATTGCCTTTTTTGATTTGGACCATTTAAACTCAGAATTCATCCTGTGAAACCAGTTTTATAATTGAACGTTGCGTTATCATAGAAATGGTACTTATTTTATCAGGCTCCTCCCCTTTTGGGCATCATTATATTTCATTTTATGATCAAAACTTTTTCCAATCTTGACAAAACATATATTGTCAGAAAGGTCTGTGTCTCAAGGTCCCAAATTTTGTGACAGAAGTGATATTTGGACAGAAATTTATTAATTTGTTAAGGCAAGAATGTATACAACTAAATTGAATGGATTTCAATGGTGGCTATTTTGGTACTACGCCTAAACAAAATCGATATATTTTATATATATATATATATATATATATATATATATATATTTATTTATATCAATAAATCGATATAAAAGTTGATATTTTGTGATATCAACTTCAAACTTGGAACATAACTTGGTTAGATTTATGGCTTTGATTTTATAGTAATTTTATAGTACAAAATATTTTGTAAAATATATATTTTATATAAAATAAAAAATATATAGTACAGTATTTTTGATTTACTGTAAAGTAAAACTTCCATAACTTTTTCATACTTTCATTTTTTGAAGTGTTTGGCTTTGATTTTATAGTAATTTTAGAGTAAAAAATATTTTGCAAAATATATATTTTATATAAAATAAAAACTATAAAGTACAGTATATTTGATTTACTGTAAAGTTAAACTTCCATATATTTTTCATACTTTCATTTTTTGAAGTGTTTTTTTTTAATTATAACCATTTAATTACAAAGGTCAAAGGTTACTTTATTGTCCCCGAAGGACAATTATTTGTACAGCCAGCAGAAGAACACAAGGCACAACACACAACATTACCACAAGTTAAAATCTCATTCTCAAAAAGGGGGGTGACAGCAAAGGAGTTAAATTCCATTATTAAATCAGGTCTAGAGTTTTTTTTTGAACTCATCAGTAGGCTATTCGGTTCAGTCATAAGAAGAGGCTCTTGTGTGAAAATGAGGAGGGCCAACAGGTGGTTCTTATTTGCTAAATTACTCCTGCCAGCCGCAAATCAGTGTGTGGCATTTTACTTCAGTTGAAATGGAATGTTCTTTGAAATTAATCTTGAAAATAAATGAGTTTATTTGTTCATTTGTCAATGTGAAGTGCTTGATATGATTGGGAACAGATCTTGTTATTCTGAAATGTTTTTTTTCTTCTCCTGTGATTGAACCATTTGAAAATAAACTAGGGGAATCTGGGGTATTTTATAAAGAATATGACATCAGTCCTTCGTTTGAAAAACCTATCTGACGTTGACATTATAATGCATGAAAAACACCACTGCAATGGCCCATATTAAAGGATCTAAACCTCTGACGTTGTTACCATGGATTCTATTCGAAATTACTGTTATTTGTGGAAAATTCAGCTGCTCTTTGGAGAGAACGAAGCACACCAGGGAATCGCCACTTCAATGATACTACTGTCTAAATGATCATCATTGATCAGGGATTGAGCACATGGGAAAAACTCTCACATCATACTGATGATGACATTCACAAAGTAGCTTGGTTCTAACAGGAGTTTGCTTTTAGATCAAAGACCTGGGATGCATTTCCCAAAAGCATTGTGTGCAAGTAGATCACAGAGATCATTGGAGCTAAGGGTTTCTTTTTATATCCTCAAAACATTCTTAACAATTCTCAGAATTCCATCTTCATTCCAACACTGCTTGTAAATGTAATGGCCTGATATTTATTTTGCATAAAGGTTTTCAGAAATATTACAAATCCAGAAATTAATCTCTGCAGTTGTGGTTCACAGACATCATCTAAAATAATCTTGTGATGTGGTTAAGCATTCTGTATGGCTCTGTGATTAAGACATATTTTTGTGAACTAGCTTAACTTAAAGGATTAGTTCAGCCTAAAATGAAAGTTCTGTTTTCATAGAATTTTACATGTTCCAAGCCTGTACGACTTTCTTACTTGCATGGAACATAAAAGGAGATATTCTGAAGGCTGTACTGGCTGCTCTTTTTCATGCAATGATAATGAATGTGGCTACTCTTGAGATGGAAAAACATGTAAGCATATGCATACAATAATCAAATAAACAAATAATCTCAATAATCTTAAATAAATACAGAATAAAATACTTGGTAGAATATTGTTTCACACTCATGGTCAGCAAGCACGACAAAGGAGAATTACTCAGACTTTGTTTACAATCCAAAAATAGTTAGAACACATGCAGGAATATGTAAGAGAAAACACTAACTGAACGCAAACATTAAAACGACTGACTAAACTAAACTGAGACACAGGAGTATATCAGTGACAACAACCCAACCCGATCTCACGACTATTCGTATATATTTTCAAGGTGAGCTTATTTTTACCAAATCGTACATATTTTATGACATTCGTACAGATGTTTTACCCCTGACCCAGCCCCTATGCCCCTCACTGGGGTTAGACAAATCGTACAATTTTTAAATGTAAATTCATGTCCCAGTTACATTTTGTCACACTGGTTGCAGGCAGGCCAACCCGATCTCACGACCAAGTCGTACAAATTCGACGAATGATTAAAAAGTGGCTAATTCGTAACAATTCATACGACCTCACACGTACGAATTAGTACGATTTTGCTAAATCGTACATATTTTACGAATTGGCCAATTCGTATGAATTCGTACGAATTACCGACCCCTGACCCCGCCCCTAAACCTAACCATCACGTGGGTTTAGACAAATCGTAGGAATTAGTACGAGTGAGGTCGTACGAATTAGTACGAATTAGCCACTTTTTAATCATGCGTCAAATTCGTACCAATTGGTCGTGAGATAGTGTTGGGCAGGCAGACAGATGAAGACAGAAGAATGAAGTTTCAACATAAGTTTAATTACAAATATCCAAGAGGCAAACAGATGGTGGCAACACACACGTAAACTCAAGAGAGACCAAACATGAGGGTACAACCTAAATAGAAACTCAAACAAGATGATTTATAGAACACAGCTAAAACAAACAAACTTATATGGGTAACCATGGAGACAAACTAGTGGCGGGAATCTGGAAGACTGACAGAAAACAAACAGTCGACGAAAACAGAAAATTACTGAACATAACGGTGACACACTTAAAGGAGTAGTTCACTTTAAAAAAAAAAAACTTTTGCTGATAATTTACTCACCCCCATGTCATCCACGATGTCCACGTCTTTCTTTCTTCAGTCGAAAAGAAATTAAGTTTTTTGATGAACATTCCAGGATTTTCTCCATATAATGGACTTCATTGGGAACCAAACGGTTCAAGGTACAAATGAGAGTTTCAGTGCAGCTTCAAACAGCTTTAAATGACACCAGACGATGATTAAGGGTCTTAGGACCCTTCGAGTCATCGGCTCGAAAAAAGATTTGTTCACTTTGATGAACAAGTTTGAACAGGAGAGTCACGAACGCTCATCACAGAACAGAGCAAATATGGAGAAAATCCTGGAATGTGAAAAACCTTAATTTCTTTTCGACCGAAGAAAGAAAGACGTGGACATCTTGGATGACATGGGGGTGAGTAAATTATCAGCAAAAGTGTTATATAGATTTTAGTATACATCAAGTTAGTGTTTTTTGTTGTTTTTTTTTTTTTTTACATTTTTACATTAATTCCAAAATAATAACTAAAGGCAGTAATAATTTTTAAAAAATGTAATATATTTGTGAACTATTTTCCGGATCATTCACTCATCAAGCTCGGTAAACACTGGTCAAAGATGTAGCCTATACCTTAAAAAGAGCATTGGAAAGTTACTGACACCAGTGGTCATTAGAGAAACTGCAGCCAGTCTCATGCTCGTTCTCGGTGCACACGCGTGTTGGCAGCCCATTCTCACCCCCAAGGCGTCACTTAACTGACGCCTTGGGAAGCATTTGGACATGCTTCAATATCTGACGCTTTAGGCGCCCTTTAGCGTCAGTTAGATGACGCCCTAGGATCGCGTGTACCCTACCCCCACCCCACACCTAAACCTAACCGCGTCCTCTAACAGACGCTTTCCTTTAGCGTCAGTTAGATGACGCCGTAGGATCGCGTCATGTAAGTGACGCTAAAGGGCGCCTAAAACGTCAAATATTGAAGCATGGTCAAAGGTGACGCCTTGGGGTGAGAATGCGTTGGTGTTGGCCACTAGATGAGGCTTTATTATTATTATTATTATTATTATTATTATTAACAAGGAGTTTCCGTGGGTATCTGGATTGTGCTTGAGGCTGGTTGCATCTTTCCGATTACGATCTTTGCGATTGCTGCTGCTTACTAATGGCTGCCGTGGATGTAAGCCCAAGTAGACAAGAATGTGCATGATGTCACATTTTGTGGATTTTCACGCCAATTCAGACCCGACTCTTCCTCACACAATTGAACCAACAGGCTGACAGAGTCAACCGTGGTGGACAGTCAAGGTGTCATTCTTTCTATTACATTATGGTTGGCTCATAAATGTACAAATGAAGACTCTATCTTAAAGATTTTTTAAAGTAAAACCCAACACATTGCCCCTTTAATTTCACCAAGCTGATTGCTCAAATTGACACAAAAGCAGCACTAAAAAAGTGTCCCACACAACTCATGCTGCATTGTAAGTCTAATGAAGACAAACAGTAGCTTTTTGTGAGAAATGGACCGAAATGTATGCCATTTTTCACTGATGACCTCCTCGATGTTAATCATTGTGACTGTATCATTTTTTCAGGGTGTACAATTCCTCTGAAGTCCAATTAGAGTGTTTGTGTAATCAAAAATAAAATAAATCCTAAAGACCGCCCAATCAGTGCAAATGATCATATTTCAGCATTTCCTGATGATGATGAACTGAAAGCCTCTCTCTCACTGACAGTACTGCTACAGTAAAGCAGAGGCCAGACGTGATGCAGCTCGTATCGCTCTGATGAACTCCACGTTTAATGAGTTGCCCTGCCGCCGCATCACTCCTGAGTTCATATCACGCAGCGTGAAGGAAGCCGTCAGCACCACTAGCGTGAGTCTCAATACTAAGCTGCTTATCAACAGTTTGCCGTTTACACTGCTGAGATTTACAAGATGTTTCGGACTTTTTGTCTAGTATATATGTTTTTAACAGTATAGCTACACATTTCATTGGTACATTCTCGCTCAGTTGTAGATTACTCTTTGTGCACTAAAGCTTTCCAAACATAGTTTGTAAGAACGGAATGGCCACCCACTGTAGTTATATAACCATGTCCTTGCTCTGGCTCTATTCCTTAAAATTAAGAGCCGAGAAGCAATTCCAATGATAAATTGGCTTTGTACCAAAAGAAAAAAGTCATGCCACCCTCCCTCACCCCAAACCTGAAAGTAGCTGCCAAGTTTTTCACATTCTCTGTGTGTGTGTGTAGGTGTGCATGTGTGGTCTCCCTTCAGTCTCATGTCATTTATCCTCGGCAGTCTTGGCCTTTTCTCCTCCAACAATAAAGACAAGTTGCTCCGGCTGAATTACAAAGAAAAGGGGTGTCTAATGAAACCCAGACCTCCTTCTGTATTTGTGTCTGCTTGCGCTGAGTGATGACACGTCTGTAAGTCATTGTGTCCCACTGTTCACAGGGTAACATTTCAGATGCATCTGACCCCAGTACTAGTATAGGAGCATACTGCCTCATGTTGGAGCTGAACATTGGGAGAACCATGCTGGAATTTCAGGTTAGAAAAAAAAAGAAACTGCCCTATGTTACCCTTCTGAAAAGACCAGCTGGTCCAGACTGGTTTATGCTTTTTAGGTGCTGCTGGTCTAGCTGGAACTCATTTTAAATCTGTATGACTTCAAAAGAAGGTATTTTGAATGATGTTCCAGATGCAGTTTTCCATGCAATGACAATGAATTGAAATAGGATACAAAAGCACCATGATCATCATAAGATTAGCCCATGTTACCACTGTGACTATATTCCAAGTTTTCAGAAGTCATGTTATTCAATGATAGTCACTTAATATCAGCCTTGATAAATGACACATCAGAGAATTATTATTTTGAATCAGATCATTTGAATGAATTATTATTTACTACCATTCAAACATTTGCGGAATTAATAAAGGAATTAATAATTTAATAAGGATACATTCAATTAATCAAAAGATAATGGTCATGAAGTATGTAATGTTTCAAAAGATTTCTATTTCAAATAAATGGTGTTCTTTTGAACTTTCTATTTGACAAAATAATCCTGACAAAAATGTATCAGTTTCTACAAAAATTTGAAGCAGCACAACTTTTTTTCAACATGGTTAATAATAAGAAATGTTTCTTGAGCACCAAATCAGTGTATTATAATGATTTCTAACATGAGTCATTGGTCAGTGTTCCATTTACATTAGTTAACAGTTCACGGGAAGGGAAGATTATCTGTGAATAATGGCTTAAAGGTAACACTTTAGTATGGGGAACATATTCACCATTAACTATGACTTTTGCCTCAATTAACTCCTAATTTAGTGCTGCTTATTAATAGTTAATAAGGTACTTTTTGTAGCGTTTAACTTTAGGTATTGGGTTAATGGATGCAGATTAGGGTCATGCAGAATATGTCATTAATATTTGCTTTAATAATAAACACCCAATATCCTTGTTTTATGCTTATTAAAAAGCAACTAGTTAATAGAGAGAATTTCACCCTAATAGTGTTCCTGACTTAAAGGGTTCACTTTGAAATTAATTTTTGATGTTCTAGCTTACCTCAAGGGCATCCAAGATGTAGGTGTCTTTGTTTCCACAGTAGTTTCAATTTTGATATTTTTCACTCAAAATAATGGAGGTTTATGGGGTCCACCTCAAAGAGCATGCACAGAGAAGTCAAAATTAAACATGATTTAATGACTCGTAAATGTAAGTACACATTGATGGCCTAAGACAAGAAACGAGCGTTTTTTGTGAGAAAACGAACAGTATTTATATCGTTTTTACCTCGTGTAATCACAGTGACGTCCAAGTGATCTGAATCAGTTGTGCAATGTCCAAATGAACCGAACTGAATCAGTTCAATGTTACGCTGGAAGTGATCGCTTGCGTGTGACGTCACTCAATATTTACACAGAAATTTTGGAAGTTTTACCTTTTACTAAACATATTTAGATATAACGAAATCGTCTTCCATTGCGGTTTCCCGTATATCTAAATATGTTTAGTGAAAGGTTAAAACTTCCGAAATCTCTGTATTAACAAAGAGTGACGTAGGCGCGCAAGCGATCACTTCCGGCACATGCACAGACCGAAGCGCCCGTGCCGTCAGATCATTTTGTCATGGCTATGATTACAAGAGGTAAAAACGATATAAATACTGTTCGTTTTCTCACACAAACCGCTCGTTTCGTGTCTTAGGCCATCAATGTGTACTTACATTTACGAGTCATTAAATCATGTTTAATTTTGACTTCTCTGTGCATGCTTTTTGGTGGACCCCCCTAGCCTCCAGTGTATGACTGATAGACAACAACGGTTTTGACTGAAAAATGTCAAAATTGAAAACACTGCGGAAACAAAGACACCAACATCTTGGATGCCCTTGAGGTAAGCTAAAACATATCAAAAATTAATTTCAAAGTGAATTATCCCTTTAAATTTCAGTTAAATTCTCACACAAAATGTATTATACTGTATAACTTTAGAATTTAGAATTGGAACATGTAGGCTATATGAACCACATTATGGCACTACGGTGTCCTCTTTGAAACTTGAAAGCTTCAGCTAGTTTGAGACAATGAAAACTCCATAATAAGGCTGATATTTCACATATTTCATAGTAGCTGCTAGAAAACGCTATAAATAATTTGTATTCGGTCCAAACTTTACTCATGCTGCTCATCTGTCAAACGTGTGAAAACGCGACAAATAGCTGCTTTCTTCACTTCATGATGAAAAACTAAGATACCATTTTTTCTTACAAACGCTGAGCAAAATCTACTCGTGAATGCTTTCTAGAGCCTATATGAGTACAAATTCATGTGCATAAAAAAAACCTGATAATTTTCACACTGTGCGCACAATGGAGCTCTGTTTCACACTCTGTCTACACTAATCCCCAATATGACATCAGTGAAGAAAAAAATGCTAAAGCAATACACATCTGCTTAGACACAGTAATATGTTAAATATGATCAACACACTTCAAAAATAAACATCATGAGATGATGTCTCTGAGAATTTGATTATTTACATCAACACAAATTCTATAGGCCTCTAAGTTCTGGTGAACACCTAAACGCTTTGTTCTAATTCTTTGAAATTTTGCCTCAAATACCTTTGACAAGTTAAAGGAATAGTTCACCCAAACATGATTCTATAATTTACTCACTAAACCCGACTAAATTCACCAATCGACTTTCTTCTTTCAACCGAACAGAGTCGGAGTTATATTACATAATATCATGCAGGCTCTTTATAGACCATTTTGCAAGATGTAAACAACACTGGTCCAGAAGCACTTCCTGTTTCAGTTTTTTAACACTACATAAAAGCTGGCATAAAATACAACCAACAAAAAATATAAAACTGAATCAAAAAGTTAAACAAACATCTTTAAGATGTTTTCTTTACATGTGAAATAAAGAAAACTGTTCCAGAAGTGTTTCTGGACCAGTGTTGTTTACATCTAGCAAAATGGTCTATAGGGGGAGGTGAGTAGAACCTGACTTCTTGAAGCTACAAAAACACATCCATCCATCCATTCATCCATCATGTAATCCCAACGCATTCTCACCCCAAGGCGTCACCTTTGACCATGCTTCAATATTTGACGTTTTAGGCACCCTTTAGCGTCACTTACATGACGCGATCCTACGGCGTCATCAAACTGACGCTAAAGGAAAGCGTCAGTTAGAGGACGCGGTTAGGCAACGCATTCTCACCCCAAGGCGTCACCTTTGACCATGCTTCAATATTTGACGTTTTAGGCACCCTTTAGCGTCACTTACATGACGCGATCCTACGGCGTCATCTAACTGACGATAAAGGAAAGCGTCAGTTAGAGGACGCGGTTAGGTTTAGGTGTGGGGTAGGGTACACGCGATCCTAGGGCGTCATCTAACTGACGCTAAAGGGCGCCTAAAGCGTCAGATATTGAAGCATGTCCAAATGCTTCCCAAGGCGTCAGTTAAGTGACGCCTTGGGGGTGAGAATGGGCTGGGTTAGGTTTAGGTGTGGGGGTAACCAGCCCATTCTCACCCCCAAGGCGTCACCTAATTGACGCCTTGGGAAGCATTTGACCATGCTTCAATATCTGACGCTTTAGGCGCCATTTAGCGTCAGTTAGATGACGCCCTAGGATCGCGTGTACCCTACCCCCACCCCAGACCTAAACCTAACCGCGTCCTCTAACTGACGGTTTCCTTTAGCGTCAGTTAGATGACGCCATAGGATCGCGTCATGTAAGTGATGCTAAAGGGCGCCTAAAACGTCAAATATTGAAGCATGGTCAAAGGTGACGCCTTGGGGTGAGAATGCGTTGCGGGGTAGGGTACACGCGATCCTAGGGCGTCATCTAACTGACGCTAAAGGGCGCCTAAAGCGTCAGATTTTGAAGCATGTCCAAATGCTTCCCAAGGCGTCAGTTAAGTGACGCCTTGGGGGTGAGAATGGGCTGGTAATCCATACAACTCCATTGTTAGTGCTTTCTGCAGCAATGTTTAAAAAAAATCCATATTTAAAACTTTATAAACTGATCACTGGCTTCCAGCAATGTATCTTTGTCTACACATCAACACAAACTAGGCCTTTTAGTTGTAGAATTAGTCTTTTGACTGTTTTCAAATACATTTTTTTTTTTTTCATAGGAAATAATGACAGTTTTTCAACTGTTGCACTGGAATGGTACTCTGAAGGCATTTCGGGAGATGAGATGTAGCCGTCAGGTAAGAATAACTCGCTTTTTGTAATCCTTTCTGAAGAAAATGTGAGTAATGCTGTAGTTCACCACCATTATGCTAGGGTGCTGTAGGTGGTTGCCCGGGCATTTCCATGAAGTTACAAAGGTGCTCTGAGTGTTTTAGTGTGTAGCTATATATGAGGTTGCTGAGTTTTGCTATTTGACCCCAGTAAAAAAAGCCTGTTCTCAAGTCCCAGATCCAAATGCTGTCAATTTGACGTCAAATCTTCTCATTCTTGTTTAATTGTCTCTTTTACAGGACGTCATCCACTACTACTCACAGCAGCGTTTGGATGAGCGTACACGCAGCCACATGGCACTAGACTGGTTACAGAAAGAGCAGAAATCCTCCGGTCTGCTATCCCAAGAGCTGCAGCTGGCCGTGAAGGAGCTGGCGGAGGCCAGGAGAACGGGCAGGGAACTCCGCTTCTACAAGGAGAAAAGAGAAATCCTGAGCTTAGCCCTCAGTCACACTAATGCTGAGGATCTGGGAGGCTACCACAGTGAAGAGATGTCCTGGAGAGAAGAAACTGAATTCGAGTACTATGCTCAGGAGGGACTCTGTCTGGAGGTGACTGATCATTCAGAGCACGGGCAGTTTCCCTCTCAGGGGAGTGATGGAGAATCAGTGGAGTGAGCTATATACAATGAATATACTGTACATATTGGACTTTTTTTATGTTTTTTTTTTTTAAGTGTTTCATGTGGCGCATCATTACATTGTTCAGGCTTCTTTCATAACATTAGATGATTTTAGCATGTATTTTTATTTACATTAGGCTACATGTTGAAACACAAAGGACAGTAGATGTTCTGTACAAGTAATTTAAGAAAAATATAAACATGCAGGTGTTTAATTTCTATAGATCTTTGGAGACTATAGCTAGGCCAATCTGTTGTAGCACAAGGACATTTGCATTGTCGTCATTTTGTTATTCTGCTAGTCTACCAGTAGAGGGCGCTGTTTCTGTACTTTTTTTAACATGAAGAGCCGTGTTCCTAACTGAACAGGACAAAGCGCTAAACGCACTATCGTTATTCATTAAACGCCCTTGACTGGAACTGTGATTAGCTCCTTTTTTATTCCAAACAAATGCACACACCTAATCTTTTGCAGAAGAAATTGTGAATAGATGTATCTCTCTTTGCAATGTTTTGATTAAATGGCTTCCTGTGAGGACTACAATGCATAACAGCATTTCTTATGCACCTTTTGATGGTGATTTTTTTACATTTTACATTTTTACATTACATTTTTCAATGGTATATCTGACCATAATATCGATCTATACAAACAACAAATGGACTGGGGGGAAACATCACTATTCAAGCTATTATAGTACAAAAACCCACCATATTTTCTTGAGATAAGGTGAGAGCGGAGTACAACCTAACGCTTTTTGGCTTTCTCAGTTTGTGTAAACCTACTTAGTTTTACTTTGGTTCAGAGTATTTGTTTTTTCCTGCATTAATTTCACACGTCTAGAACAATTATGTGATTTTGTTTCTTTAGTGCATATATTTTTTTCTTGATTTACCCCCAAACTAATGGAAGTGAAATGTGACAACATGCCCCATAACATGACCATATGACAGCTTAAAATGTTATCTGATCTAATCAAAAAATGTACAAGACAAACTAAAATATTTTCAAGTTTTTCATATAAAATAACAACATTTTGTAATAATTAAAAAAAAAAAGTTTGAGTTTGACAACAAACACACCACAAAAAGTTATATAAAAATAATAATTTCTGAACTTCGACTCCCAGGCTTTATTCACCCTTTTCTCATGGTTTTTCAATAGAATTTATAAGAAAAGAATCTCATCTGTTAAATAACAGATTGGAGATTAAAATAGTATCAAATCTGTCTATATATATATATATATATATATATATATATATATATGAAGAGTTCAGATGCAAAAGCCTCTAAATGCCATTTGAAATTTTCTTCTTTAATGATGATTTTTATCAAACTTGTATATTTAAGTTCAGTAATTTCACTTAAATAACAATTAAATATCATTGCCATTTAAGTGAAATCACTGAACTTAAATATACAAGCTTGATAAAAATCCTCATTCTAGAAGAAAATTTCAAATGGCACTTAGAGGCTTTTGCATCTGAACTCTTCATATATATATATATATATATATATATATATATATATATATATAAACATTAAAAATTAATGCAAGTAAGAAATTTACATTAGCCATGGTTATACTTGTGCAGTGATATCTTCCAAAAGTCGATTTTGCATTTTTTCTCTATATGGTGTTAAAATGGCAACTATATTGTAAATACCCTCAATTTTGTTAAGCTTGCATATGTGAATTTAAAACAAGTGTGTTACAAATAGCCCCACATTAGATTGAGCCCTGCTCTTACCCCTACATTAAAAGAAGTACACAAAATGTTACATAAAAAAAATGCAAGCTAGTTATAAGTTCATTGCAATTTGGTTTTGACTACTTTAAATTTGACCGAAAATCTATTAAAACCAAGTAAAAAATGTCAGAAATGACAAATTAAGTGGATGGACACTAAGATGTGCACAAAACTAGGCCACAATAGTGCTTGTTTTCCTCAACTTTATTATTATGTTTTTCCATCACAGTTGTTGCTAGGAGACTATTGAACCTAAACCAAAAAATCTTGAGCTACAGCGATGATGGGTAGGCCTATGTGTCCTCATAAAGTGCTCTTAGTGGGAATTGATAATGTTATATAAGATGCTAATTTACCCCTCTCTAATTTCTTTCTGTTTGAACTGGGCTTTAAGTTTGTTATGTTCTCCCTTTTGCGGTAACAAGCAATAAGACCCCATAGTGACAAAAGAGCCACGATGAAGGTGTTTTTGCTGCTTTTTTTTCTTTGTTTAAAATTATCTGCTCATCTGTAGATCATACACATCTTATTCCGCAAAGGCCTCATTGTTATTCACTCTGAATCACTTTTCATTGCATGATTTTGCATAAATTATCTAATTACACAAGGCGGCTTCTCTGTAACACACTGCTTTCACACATTCACTCATGCCAACTTGCAGTTTTTTTTTTTTTTTTTCCTTTTTTCACTCCTTGAGGTATACGATGTATCTAGTCGACCTACAGATGGGAAAAGGAGTGGGATAATGACGTCTTCGGCTGTTTTAGAGGGTACATTGTACTCTTGGGAGGTAGAGCAATTTTCCAGATTCAGTGATTGTCAAGCACCTAAAGGGTTTAAGCCGAGCCGCCTTTCTTTAATTTACATAGCAAAAAAAAAAAAAAAAGAAAAAGAAAAACGCTCGATTTCAAATTGAAAAGCGTGACTTTCTCCCTTCTTTTCTTTCTCAGGACAATGAGATGTAAATTACATCATTCCGGGCATTGGGCTGATGACAATGTGAAATGACAATGGGATCAGGAGCATTAGAGTTATTTCATTCAATGGTTGTTTGAAGCTGACCAAAGGGAACGGAAATCATATTTCCTGTTTCAATATTGAATTAATAACCAGGCAGATGGAGGAACACACATATCAAATCTATTTTGATGGCATATTGTGATAAAGATTTTAAAAGACATTGGAAATGGTGTTTCTCAGGCCCTGATTTATTAACTTAATGAGAACATTATGGAAAATTGGGTAACACTTTACAATAAGGTTCATTAGTTAACATTAGTTATTAGTTAGCATGCACTAATGATGAACAGCACTTATTAATCTTTGTAAACGTCAATTTCAATATTTACTAATACTTTATTAAAATCTTGTTAACCTTAGTTATGTGCTGTGAACTAACATGAAAAAAACAATGAACAGCTTTATTTTTATTAACTAACATCAACGAAGATTAACACATACTGTTACAAATGTATTGCTCATGGTTAGTTCATGTTAGTTAATACATTAACTATTGTTAACTAATGAACCTTATTGTAAAGTGTTACCGAAAATTGAATGAAAGACATCTACATTTTTAACCTTAGGTATTAACCTTTTCAATGTTATTAAAATCACATATTGGTTCATTTTGGCTTGGATGGGGTGGCTTTTATCTTCGCTCTGCACTTCAAGTGGAACAATAAGCTACTGTGATGATTGAAAGCGAAAGACAACAAGTGAGAGGCGCTTGGCTATTTGTCTCCTCTCAGCTGTGAGCACAGCTTTCCATTTTCACACAAATCCCACTGCGATTGCAATCTCCCACTGACGCTGCCATCCACTCACGTTTGGTGCCGGTGTAAATGCTGTTTCTGCTGTGTGTGGCGTCTGAAATCCCAGGAGAGCTCTGCTTCAGTCCCATGCTATGCGGAAAGACAGACCGACCCATTCTTTATGTTCATAATTTTGCATCTTTTTAACCTTGCATGGAAGTTCCTGTCACGGCGTCTGTGCAACAGCATGCTGAGTGAAGCAGGGCTCAGCGTGAACGCCATGTGGCCCTTTCTTCCTTTGACATCTCTTCCAACACACCCACTCTCCTCTTCACCCAGCAAAGGACATCTCACCCTTCCCTCGCCTTCTCCTTCATTCCAGTGTCCTCATTAAACTGACAGCTACGCAGTCCTCTATCATTATGTTGGGTTCTGTTTTAGGATATGTTGTTAAAAGTGTAAAACAAAATAATTTTTTTTTGAAATATGTCATTATTTACTCAACTTTCCCTGGTTAAACAGACAAGGCTTAAGATAGTTCCAGACTATAATGCATGTTTGAGCTGTTTTAACTGAAACCAACTTGCACTGACATATCTTAAAATATGTCATTGTCATTGTCTTGTCTCAACATGCACACCAGTAATGCCTTTTTTTTCTAAGGCATGTTTATAAAGGCCATTGCACACTGAGTCCGAAATTCGCATTATTTGGGCACAATATATACACAATAACAGCCTAGCTGTTCTGTCATCCCAGACCGGTGCCAGCGCTTCCACCGGGCCACGCGCGTGTGTGTGTGTGTTTGTGTGTGTGTGTCCATACCTGGTCCATACCAGACACACACCCAGTCTCCGTTCAGAATCGATTGGTTCACGGAAATTGGTGGTCTTGTTTTTAATATGTGGCTCCAGAATCACTAGCAAAGCATCAAACTATCCCACTGACATTCTTAGGTAAATTTTGAATCGCTCAGGATAAATTCTTAACTCCTTGATAAGGTGGAACTCTCCTGCCTCGGCGCAATTTCAGGATTGGATGGACGTAATATTTTCTCTTTCTTCTCTTTTCAATATGAGAGAGGGCAAAAATCATCCTCACTGCTTGACGAATCCATTTGGTATTTTTGCGTTTTTTCCCCCAAACGTTTAATAAATACGCAACGGACTCGGTGTGCAAGGTTTCTATGCGTGACGAATTTTTAGGCTGACGAACACGAAAATACGCATACGAAAATTTCATACTCAGTGTGCAATGGCCTTAAAAGATACTTAAATGTCCTAAATGAATCAAAGCCTAGTCCTGGCTTAAGGTGGGGTAAGCGATAATTGAAAAACGCTGTTTGAAAGTTGGTCAGACAGACACAGAAGACACAACAACAAACCTGTAGCCAATCAGCATTAGCCGCCAATCATATGACAGTGGAGGAGAGAGAACGAGCAAGAGGGAGATTTGAAGAAAGACTGTAGAAAGAGAGATGGCTGAGAGACATTATAAAAGATAAAAGCTCATAAGAATATCACTGGAAAATGAAGGGATGTTATCAGGAAACAGCTTTAGGACTGTGTTAATTTTAGAAAAGCCTTCCAGCGTTGGAGAGAGCTAGATGGGAAGGCCTGAAAACAGATGGAGAGGTTGCTTTGATTCAACTCCATTCAACACTGGGTTTTCGTGTCATTGTTTGTCTGGAGCTGCTGTACTGTTGGCAACCAACAACGAACTCTTGTTTGTATTACTCTTGTGTGTATGTAAAATGTGTGTCTGCTTCCTTGTCGTTTGTTCATCAGCTTCGCTTTATTTTTCATGAAGCGTTATTTTGTTTGGCTTCTGCTACGATAAATGGACATTCACTTTTGCATTGCGTGAGTAATGGAAGCCAGCCAGTGAGAGTTATTGAACTGAAAGTCATCAAATGGTGATTATGACTGCCACAATCCTTAGAGTGCAGGAAAGGTTACATCACATTCTACCAGCTTGTCAGTGAGTGATTACACTTCACCCTGGGTTTAGCGGTCTTACTCTTAATC